CATCCTGACAGTAAGAGCTGTTCGACAGTGGAATTTGCTGCCAAGGAGTGTGGTGGAGTCTCCTTCTTTGGAGGTCTTCAAGCAGAGGCTTGACAACCATATGTCAGGAGTGCTCTGATGGTGTTTCCTGCTTGGCAGGGGGTTGGACTCGATGGCCCTTGTGGTCTCTTCCAACTCTATGATTCTAGGATTCTATGATTCTATGCCCGGTAAGCCCTGCCGACCCCTTCTCCAGAGTTTCAGGCAAGGGGTTGCCAGGAATTTGAACCCGGGACCCCCGGGACATGTGAAGCATGTTGCCCGTGGCTTGCTGAGCCCGGGGCAGCTGGCGGCAGCGGCTGCGAATCCACCCCAGTTCTCCTGGCCCATAGTGGGGCAGCAATCTGACGGCAGGCCTCCTCTGTGGCATTATTTGTTTCCCTGGAGCAGGGCATGTGGGAAGAGGAGGAGGAGAAACAGCTTCTGGCTTGCCACATGTGCCTGTAAACAGAGGCAGATGGGCTAAGGAATAAACAGAGCAGCTCTCTGGGATCTGCAGAGATGAGTCATGCCAGGGAGGCGAAAGTGGCTCTGTATTTTCTCACAATTTCCGTTGCTGTGATTTCTCTCTCTCTCTCTCTTTCTCTCTTTCTCTCTCTTCCAGGCAGCCAAGCAGAGGTGCAGACAAACATGTCTGGCTCTCGCTTTGCATGTGAGTTGTGTGTTCGTTCTTCTTCCAAAGCAATAGAAAGCTGAGACCTTCTTCATCTTTTGCAGGGCTGGTTTCTTTGCAACATGTATCTATTATTATTATTATTCTCATGATAATAATGGATGCCATGGATGCTTCAGCTGAGATTCCTGATTCCTGCAATGCAGGGCGTTGGACTTGATGACCACTGGGGTCCCTTCCATGATTATAACTGTTTATATCCCACCCTCCAATATCCGAAGGGCCGTCCCATGGAAGATGGAGCAAGCTTGTTTTCTGCTGCTCCAGAAGGGAGGTTCCGAACCAATGGATTCAAATGACAAGGAGGGAATTTCCGACCAAACTTCACTAGCCACTGATGCCTCCATGGCTGGTTCTCTTTCTAATAATAATAATAATAATAATAATAATAATTTATTTATACCCCGCCCATCTGGCTGAGTTTCCCCAGCCATTCTGGGCGGCTCCCAATCAAGTGTTAAAAACAATACAGCATTAAATATGAAAAACTTCCCTAAACAGGGCTGCCTTCAGTTGTCTTTTAAAAGTAAAATAGTTGTTTATTTCCTTGACATCTGGTGGGAGGGCGTTCCACAGGGCGGGCGCCACCACAGAGAAGGCCCTCTGCCTGGTTCCCTGTAACCTCACTTCTCGCAAGGAGGGAACCACCAGAAGGCCCTCGGCGCTGGACCTTCTAAATCGACCAATTTATGGAGGAGGAGAAAGCTAATGATGGCTATGTTCTGCCTCCACAGCAGTGCTTCTGAAGACCGGGTGCCGGAAACCACAGGAGAGGAGAGGCTCTTGTGTTCGAATCCTGCTTGCTGGGTTCCCACTTGTGCAACTGGTCAGCCCCTGTGAGAACAGGATGCTGGACTACTTGGGCCACTGGCCTGATCCAGCTGCCTCTTCTTAGGTTCTTAGGCTGGTTCTAGCAGTGAGAAAAACAAAGTAGAAACACACACACACAGAAAGAGAGAGAGAGAGAGAGAGAGAGAGAGGATCATCGGTTCCTCCCCTCCCTCCCTGGTCTCTGATGGATAGATAATTTATTACGGTCAGAGGCCAGCTTATAAAACACACTTGGGGGTACAATCCCAGGAGGAAAACAAACAATGTACAACAATAAATTTAAAATTTATAAATGCGAAAAGTGTATAAACACTTAAAACTTTAAGCCACCGCAGAGAGATGACCCAGAGTCAGCGATGGAACCAAGTTTGGGATTTTCTTAACGAACTAGTTTGAGTCGGGGGATGGTCTGCATCTACAGATCTGTACACAGAATCTGGCGACCATTCGGGTCGTCTTATGATCTTTGCCTAACAGGAGGTCAAATTTTTGCTTTTCCTGGAGGTCAGCGAGCCTCACCAGCAGGGGATCAATGGTCTCACTACGTGCCTCTTCGTAAAAGGGACATCTAAAGAACAAGTGCTCTGGGCTTCCTATCTCCCCCAATGGACAGGCACAAAGTCTCTGAGCATAAGGGACTTTTTTAAAGGACGCTTCCGGGACCGGCGAGGGTAGAGCCGAGCTTCCGGCGAGTGTAAAGGCCCTTCTTGCATTTTTGCATACGAGAAAGAAGAGATATGCTGCCGGTGCGGCTATGTATCTCTTGATTTCTCCAATTTTATAGCCGGGGCACCTTGAGCAGTCCTGTTGTCTCTCGGTGTCTATGATTCTTTGCCTGACCGTAGCTTTTGCCTGGCCCAACCTCCCTGGTCTCTGCTCTGCACTTCACGAAAATGTGTTGCCTCATTGCAGGCTATGACTCAGCCCTGCAAGGAGGGCTCCCCTGAATTTTAAGCACCCGCAGCCCACCCAGCGCAGCACCGTCTCAGACAGACGGCGCCTTGAAGGCAGAGTCCGCTTCATCAGGCCAGCGCCCCGCCGCCACCCCTGTGAGCCGCCCGGTCCTAACGATCTGGGCTGCTCATTAGTGTCTGCAGCTGCTTCTGTCGGCTTTAATTTAAATACTCGGCAGCACACGGACAGGGGCAGGGGCAATGCCAAAGGGCAGTGCGGGAAACAGTGGCGGAGCTGAAGACCAGAGAGAGAGCGGGAGGGAGAGAGATGGTGCAGCAGAACGACTGAGGGGTGAGATGAAGCTGTTTGCATGGCCTTCAGTGAACCCCAATCAGTAATGCGGATAATGCAGTTGGCCTTCTTTACAGGGTCGTCGTGCTCCCACCTGAGATAAAAGCCAGAAAAAGACAGGCAAATGGTGCAGCACAGAGCAACCGAGAACAGGAGGAGTGAGAGGAAACCCTCAGTTTGAATCTCCCCTTGGACTGTTTGCATGGCCTTCCCCTAAGGAAGTCAGACTATCTTCCACCAGGGCCTTCTCAGTGATGGCTCCGACCTGGTGGAACGAGGAGACTAGGGCGTTTCAGGATTTAACCTCCTTCCATCGGCCCTGTAAGACAGAGCTATTCCGCCTGGCCTTTAATTTGAATTCAGCCTGATCTTTTATTTCCCTTCTCTTCCCTCCCCCTCCCCTTTTATGAAGATCACCCGCTCTGAGACCCCACAGCTAATTCTCCCCTGGACTCCCCTAGTTTAGAGGTCCCGGGCCCTAAGGAAGTATCCCCCACCAGGGCCAGGGCCTTCTCAGTGATGACTCCGACCTGGTGGAATGCTCTGTCCCATGAGACTAGGGCCCTGCAGGATTTAACCTCCTTCCATTGGGCCTGTAAGACAGAGCTATTCCGCCTGGCCTTTAATTTGATTCTTTAATTCTCCCCTGGCCTCCTTGCTGGCCCAAGTAGGATCAATTCAGCCAACTAGCCCTGGGGATTATCGACATGACTTTTGAATTTTATTGTAATTCATGTTTTTATACTGTATTTTATGCTGCTTTTATAATTAAGTGTTTTAAAGTGTTTTAAATTTGTTGTTAGCAGCCCTGAGCCCGGTTTTTGAACCGGGAAGGGCGGGGTATGAATAAAAATTTATTATTATTATTATTATTATTATTATTATTCCTCTCTGCAATACGGATACTGCAACTGGGCCTCCTTTACAGCGTTGTTGTGCTCCTGAGATAAAAGCCTGCAAGGAGTCCTGTGGCATCTTAAAAGATTCAGGGCAGATAAAAGAAGTAATTTCTTTGTGCAGTGCAAGTTAAACTATGGACGTCGCACCTGAAGGAGGCAGAGATGGTTACCAACGTGGATGGCTTTAGAAGCAGATTAGACAAGTTCATTGAGGACATGACTAGCAATGGCTACTAGCCAGAACGGCTCTGCTCTGCCTCCGCAGCTGAAGGTAGTAAACGTGTCTGAATATTAGTTGCTGGAAACCAGAACCTGCTTGGAGCATTTCAGAGGGTTGGAAATGGTGTGGAACAGGGGTCAGCAAACTTTTTCAGCAAGGGGCCGGTCCACTGTCCCTCAGACCTTGTGGGGGCCGGACTATATTGGGGGGGGGATGAACAAATTCCTATGCCCCACAAATAACCCAGAGAAGCAATTTTAAATAAAAGCACACATTCTACTCATGTAAAAACATGCTGATTCCCAGGCCATCCGCAGGCCTGATTGAGAAGGCGATTGGGCAGGATCCGGCCCCCGGGCCTTAGTTTGCCTACCCATGGTGTAGAACAAAAGGCAGTTGATGTGGAGAAAGAGAGATGTACATTTCCCCCTCTCCCACAATCCTACAGCTCCAGAATCATCCCGCGAAAGTGACCAGCAGGAGATTCACATTTGTGGCCCCAAAATGTGGCAGCGGCTTCAGAACTGGACTAGACGATGACGAATCTGTTCGAAGTTATCGGCTGGCAAAGCTAATGAACCTCGATGCTCAGAGACATTCTACCTTGGAAAATGAATTGTCTGGAAGCAAAACCAGAAGAAAGCTGTCACCTTTGTGTCCTGCTTGTTGGGCTTCCAGGGAACCTGGTGGGCCATTATGGGATGGAAGATGCTGAAGTAAGTGGACCTTTGGTCTGATCCAAAGTGTGTGTGCGTGTGCATGCCTTCTGCTGCAAACACATCCAACTGCAAAAATATAACAAATTACAATTTTAACCAAAGTAGTCATAAACAACAAAGGAGAAAAGGGTCACAGTAGAAGTTGTGGCCATGCACACCACTAGCAATGCTATAGCTGCAACCCTAGTTTGAACCCTGGTCCCTCCTAGCTCCTGGTCCGATGCTCTAACCATTGTACAACACTGCCTCTCCCAATGGGCTGGGTCTGCTAACCTCCTGCAGGGAGAGGCTCACTCTGGGGAACAATCACTTTTCCATTAGGAAACAGACCAGCAATTGCCCTGAAAATCAATTTAATTATATTAAATAAGATACCCCTCCCTCCACGCCACACTTTTGTCCAGTGTCGGGTCTCGAACTCGCGGCCTTCTGGAGCGCGCCTTCCCTCCAGCCAATCGCAATAGCCGCCGCCTTCGCAACAACAACAGCCGCCTCCTCCCTACCGGATAAAGGCCCGCCGCTCTCCTGCGCATGTCCGCCTACATTTCCCAACAGGCATTTCCGCCTACGAAGGCAGCTCTTTGTTGACGCACGCGCGCGGAGGGGGGGGCGCCCGCGTATCCACGGGAAACGTAGTCCTCCCTCGGCCTTGCTCGGCCGTCTTCAAAGGACCGCAGGACTACATCCCCCATGATCCCTTTTCACGCCGGCGCTCGTCCTCTCCTCACAGCGCCGGCGCCCTGGGCTCGTCCGCCATCTTGGTTTCCAGGGTGACAGGACCGTGGTGGTGGCGGGCAGTAGGCCGGCCCGACCCGGCGCGGGGCGGAGATGCTGGCCTGCCTGATGAGCAGGCCTCTGCCGCCGGGTCTGGCGCGGCTCTTCGGGGCGAGGCTCCCGCTGGCGGTGCGCGGGGCCTCGGCGACGTCCGCGGCGTCGGCCTCGTCGTCGCTGGCCGGGCGAGAGGAGCTGCAGTACCCAGGCGAGGCCGCTAGGGGCCGCCCGCAGCGCCAGGCGGCGGGAGAAGAGGAAGAAGAAGAAGTGAGGCTGGCGAAGCTGCAGCGCCGCCGCGCGCCCTCTAGGGGGCGCTGCGGGGACGAGGCGCTGTGGCCGCAGTTCAAGGCGCCGGCCGCCAGGGGGCAGGACGCGCAGCAGCTGGGAAGATACCCCTGCGAGGCGGGCGCCGCCCTGGCGGCGGGCAAAAGGGCGGCAGCCGAAGGAGGCTGGCTGCCCAGGCTGCCCTGCCAGGAGGAGGAGCAGCAGCAGCAGCTGCCGTCTGGGGACGCTAGCGCCCGCCCGCTCCGCAGGGAGCCCAGCGGCCTGCGCCTCTGGCCCAACCCGGAGCGGGCCGGGCGCCACCGCAGCAAAGGGAACCGTGGCAACAGGCGCGGACCCAGGATCCCGTCCTTCGCTGCCACTGCTGTGGCGGCCGCCGGGCTGGCATTCTGCTACAGCAAGGGCAACGTCTCCAAAGGTGACCGCAGGGCGACGCTCTCCGGCAGGAGGGACTCAAGCCGCTAGTCCTGTGTGAGGGACGCTGGGGAGGTTGACCAGGGATGCTGGGGCTTTGGGGGTTTTTGCTTGCTGTTGGGGAGACCAGGTCGTTTCACCACCTGGGGCAAAGCGGAAAGAGGCTCGTCCGCTGCTGCCTCACCCTCCGCTACTGCCCCCGCTCCTGTTGCTGCCGCCTGGGGCAGCCCAGGGAAGCCCCGGTGGGCTGAGGGAGGCTGGAGAAGAGGCGGGTGACAAGCAGAGGAGGCAGTGAGTAGCTGGCTCCTCAGGGTGTGGGTCTGCCACTCCTCCCAGCTGAGCGCTGCCTGATGCCAGGCGGGCCGGCCCTGCTTATTATAAATAATAAACATAATTGCGTTAATATCTTGCCCTTTTCTCCACAGAGCTCAAGGCAGCATGCATGGTTTCACCCACCACTTGTTTCAACCTCCACAACAACCCTGTGAGGTAGGTTAGGCAGAGAGAGGCAGTGACTGGCCCTCCAGATCACACCTAGTGAGCTGCGTAGTGGCCAGTTGGGGGATTCGAACCCTGATCTCTTCCTGGTCCTAGTCCAACACTAACCGCTAGCCCACACTGGCTCCTTCTATGGTGAGATCCTTGCTTTTCCCATCAGTATATATCCAGCCTAGAGAAAAGATTCGCCTGCCATAATTCCTGTATGCGCTGGAGTGCTCTTAGAACCGTTGAAGCAAGGCTAGTAAAAGGCAGTGTGCTTAGTGGTTAGAGGGTTGGGCTAGGACCTAGGAAAAATGTTCGGTCAGCCATGAAGCTGCCTGGGTGACCCTTGGGGCCAGACACCCCATCTCAGCCTAACCTGCCTTACAGGGTTGTTGCGAGGAGAAAGCACAGAGGAGAAGAACCTGAGCTCCTTGGAGGGAAAGGTGGATATAAATGTAATAAAGGATACAATAAGTAATAATTTAGAATTTTGGCGTCAGTGTTCTACGTTCCTGTTAACCAGCCTGGTGCCCCTTCCCTTGGTTGTTTTGGACTACAACTTCCATTGGCCCAAACCAGCATATTTCCTAGGGGATTTGCCCATGCTGCTCTTCTCAATTCATTTGCCTGTTGGTGTCTCAGGACAGTAATGAATTCTAAGAGGGGATTCTCCTTTTTCCTGTGAGCTTAGTTGTGCATACAAGGTGTGCCCAGGCACACCCTAACATCTCCAAAAAAATGTGGCAAAAACTTGATATTTTCCGTGTCGTTTTTTAGCTTTGTATTTTTAAATCAAAGTTCAGTTGATGGTCTGTTAAAGAGGTGAGGTTTAGTTTCTTTCCGTTGGAACAGTTGTTACAGTACTGGTTTTTGATAAAGTTCATAATTATTATTATCAAAACAATTAGTCCTGCTTTACATTCTCGTCCTCAAAGTGCATTTTGAGGCTAGTTTTGCATGGTGTACTTAAGCATTACGGCCAGGAGGTGGCATATTTGAACCACCTGTTCCCAAAGTGGCAACCTTATGCCGCTTGAGGTTTGCAGCCTTCCCCAGCTTGTTTTTGGACTACAAGTCATGTGTGCTGGCTGGGGCTGATGGGACTTGTAGTCCAGACCATCGAGAACCCCAGGAAGACTGTTTCAAAAGACTCGTTCCTGGGCCTTTCTCACAGCAGGGATCAACTTTTGTTTTGAGTGTCCAGCTGTGCATTAAAAGAGGTTTTGATTGTTGCTCCTTGCCTTGTAGCTTATGCACTGAAGTCTATCTTCAGGGTCTTACCCTGGGAGTGTGGGGGCAACACCCAGAATCATAGAATTGTAGAGGAGGAAGGTACCCAAGGGTCATCTAGTCCAACCCCCTGCAACACAGGAATTGTCCATTCCACCGTTGAACAGCTCTTACCGTCAGAAGATTCTTGCTAATGTTTAGTCAGAATCTCCTTTCTTGCCATTGGAATTTTTTGGTTTGGGTCTTACCTTCTGGAGCGGCAGGAAACAAACCAAACCTAATTATCTTTTAAGGCCTTTCAAGTCAGTGACTGTCACTGCCTCCTGCAGGAGCAAGTTTAACTGCGTGAATTGTTCCAATTTAACCACTGAGGTGCTCACAACCCTTGCTTTACTGTGGACAGAAAATTCCCCAGGGTTTGGGAAAGGCCACTGGCCCCCCAAAAATGTTGTGTGGCTGCCTGTCTCAGGAGGCAGTGCTGTGGCTCTAAAGCAGGTGTTTGTGTGTTGATTTCTGTGGCTTATACCAGACAGAAATTCTGCTCCATCTCAAAGAAATTTAAGTGGAGGGACTGCCTGGTCAAACACTTCATAGGTACAGTGGTGCCTCGCAAGACGAAATTAATCCGTTCCGCGAGTCTCTTCATCTTGCGGTTTTTTCGTCTTGCGAAGCACGGCTATTAGCGGCTTAGCGGCTATTAACGGCTTAGCGGCTTTAAGAAAAAGGAAACAAACTCGCAAGAACTCGCAAGACGAAACGCAAGCCCATAGGGAAATTCGTCTTGCGGAACCACTCAAAAAACGGAAAACTCTTTCGTCTTGCGCGTTTTTCATCTTGCAAGGCATTCGTCTTGCGAGGTACCACTGTAACATCATCAAATGGGAACTGATAGTGGGATTCTTGGGGGGGGGGTGTCTTTTGGAATCAGCTTTGAAGGGTGGGAGGCAATAACTGAGCAGCTCCAAGTGGTCCCCTTAGAACCAAACCTGGCAGAAAGCAGGAAAATTCCTTTAAAAAGGGGGGAGCGTCTTTTCTCTTCTTGCCTGTCCTTCTCGCCACCTCCAGTTCACAGCAATTCCTCTCCTTTGTCTTTTCCAGAAGACTCTCTACTGGAAGCTGCACGGATCAACAACATTTCCGAAGTGGACAGGTGAGCCCCCTGAATTCAGCCCTGCTGGTGCGAGGGGTGGCCGGGAGATGTCTGCTGGTGGCATGCAGCCTTCTTGGGAGAAAACACTAGTGTGTGCGGTCTAAACATTATATCTATATAACCTCACAAATTTTATATACTACTTGATTGTAAAAAAACCCCCCAACAACCACCACTTCAAAGCAGTTTGCAAAGAGAATAAAACTGTAAAACTGTCAGTAAAGACTGCTCTTTAAAATATTCAAAAGAAAAAATCAGCCATAAACTAAAAAAAAAAATTAAAAGCACACATCAACATGCCACGTGTTTGAGTAGGCTTGTCTAAACAAAAATGTTTTTAGCAGGCACCGAAAAGGGTACAGTGTGAAGGTCCCTGCAGGGAGTTCCGGATTGTGGGGGCTGCCACGCGACAGGTTGTGGAATGATGATTCTGCAGATATATTTTCTTGAGGCCAAGGGTCGAGGTCCGTTTGTTGATGTACTGATGGGCTTTCTCGAGGAGAAACTATGGAAGTTGCCCCCACAGGGGGCAGTGATGGCCACCAACCTAGATGGCTTTAAAAAGAGGACCAGGCAGATTCATAGAGGAGAATAATGCTATCAGTGGCCACTAGCCAGGATGGCTGCGCTCTGCCTCTATGATCAGAGGCAGAAATGCTTCCGAAGACCAGTTGCTGGAACCACAGGAGGGGAAAATGCTCTTGTGCTCAGATCCTGCTTGCTGGTTTCCCACAGGGATCTGTTTGGCCCCTATGAGAGCAGCCTGCTGGACTATATGGGCCCCGTTTGGTCCGATGTAGCAGTTTCTTCTTTTGTTCTTTTGCTTTAGAAGTGACATCTCTGCATCTGAATATTATTATTATTATTATTAAGCATGCCCCAGAGCTTGATTTCCTACGTTGGGCCCCCTTCCCCCCCAAAAAGCAAGGTGTTAGCAGTTGTTTGTGAGGGAGAGGCCATCTGTAAATGCTTAGGGGTGTTCCCTTCGCCACAGTTCAGTTTTCCACACCCTCAGCAGCTGAGTGCCTTGTGCCCTCGTGCTGGGGTGTTCGATTAAAACTCTCCAAGCCATGACTGGAACTGGCAGAGTGGCATATTTGTGTGGTATATGCCCACCTTGCACTTTGCCCTGTTCAGATCAGCCTTCATGCCCCCTGTTTTGTCCAGGGTCTTCTACAGCCCAGCGACCAGGTCTCTCCCCCTCCCCTGCGCCACATAACCCCCTCTCCTCTCTTCCCTGCGCCCCCGAACCTCTTCCCAGCCTGCCTCAGGAAATGGCTTCCTTGTGCCCAACGCAGCCGAGGTCTGGCCTGCATCAACGCTCCTGATGGGCAGCAAACTGGGCCCCTGGCAGTAATTGCAGGAAGCGGCCTGATTATCTTTGAGTCAGCCCAGGTCTCCGGGCCTCCTTCCCTCCCACCTCCTTGCTTCGGCTTCATGTTCCCCGCAGGCGATTCTGGAAATGCTTTCGGCCACTTGTTCAAACCTTCGGATGGCATATAATTTGGGAAATGGGACAGACCACAGCTGAGAGGTGGACGGTCTGCCTTGCCTGTCGAAGGTCCCAGGCTGGCACTGAGGTGAGATGGTGCCAGCTTGGGTTTCAAAATGCCTCCCCAGATCCCCTTGCTCCTGTGAGCTGGCCTGGGCTGGACGATGTGCTCTGGAAGTCACCACTGTGCCCTCATGGGACACAGCATCCAGCCATCCCCTCTTGCACTCGGAAAATAGTGTGGGCTCGAGTTAAGCTAGCAGCAGGAGAACAGTAATGCTTTAATGTTACATGTCTAAGATATCCAGAAATTACTGTATTTTTCTGTGTATAAGACACCCCCTACTTTTGGGGACCGCAAATTTAGAAAATGGGCACATGCACTGTCCGTGTATAAGACGCCCCCAGATGTTTAACCTTATTTTAAAGTCTTATACACGGAACAATACGGTAATCTTCACCAACATTTGCAGAAGCTGGCATTGGCTCTCCCTGTGATACCATTCTGCCTGCCTTGTCCGCCTGCAAGGTCAGGGCTATACATAGATGTCACACACTAGAATATTCACCTTTACCTCTCTGAAGGGCTGTCACATGGAAGATGGACCATCTTGGCTGTGAGTCCTGGAGGACTTGCTCCCTGACTTGCAGGCCTATTTCTACCTGGCCTGGGCGGCAGGGCCTGGACTGACTCCAGCTACAAAAGCTGAGGCTGCTGAACAGACTCTTGCGCTGGAGTGTTGGTTAGGGGTTTTCGTTGTTTTCTTGTTGATATTAATTTTTTGTATACTGTATTTTTAGATCTTACGATTTATGTGGAAATTGTTCAGTTCGGTTGGGCGCCTTTTGGTGTGGTTTACTTATTGTTTAAGACTACTGGTCTAAACCACGGAGCCTAGGGCTTGCCAATCAGAAGGTCGGCAGTTCAGATCCCTGCGACGGGGTGAGCTCTCACTGCTTGGTCCCTGCTCCTGCCCACCTAGCAGTTCGAAAGCACGTCAAAGTGCAAGTAGATAAATAGGTACCACTCCGGCAGGAAGGTAAACGGAGTTTCTGTGCGCTGCTCTGGTTCGCCGAAGCGGCTTAGTCATGCTGGCCACATGACCCGGAAGCTGTACGCCGGCTCCCTCAGCTAATAAAGCGAGATGAGTGCCGCAATCCCAGAGTCGTCCGCAACCGGATCTAATGGTCAGGGGTCCCTTTAGCTTTTATTTCTGTTATATTTGTAATTACATAAATATTTTTATTTTGTAAGCCACCTTCAGCATAGCTTTAAGTATTCAAAGGCTGCATACAGTTAAAATGATGGTGATGATGCAAGCTTGTTTTCTGCTGCTGCAGGTGGGAGAACATGCAAGAAAGGAGATTATGACTTAGCATTAGGACGAACTTTCTGAGGGCAAGAGCTATTTGACAGTAGAACGGATTACCTCGGGAGCTCATTGACTCTCCTTCCTTGAAGGTTTTTAAACAGAGGTTGGGAGGCCACCTGTCAGTGGTCCTTTAGCTGCAATTCCTGCATTGCAGGGTGTTGGAATAGATGACCCCTGAGAGTCCCTTCCAACTATGCAATTATAGGATTACTGGGCTTTCGCTCTTGGGATGAAAGCAGTGGAGGCAAATGGGCCGATTAGACAGGCCGTTTTTAGGAAGCTGGCCCTGTTTTTCTCCCTTGAGACCATTATGTTACTGGTGTGTGTGTTTAGGGGGTGGGAAGGATCTCATTCTGTAAGTGTTGCAAACCTCGAAGGACCTCGCAAAGAAGTCGAAAGTTTCCCTAAAGCCCCCCCGGCTGTTAAACAGTAACATCTGGGGACGGCGGGTGGGGTGTGGGGAGAGGGAGAGAAGTGCTGTTTAACTGGCCTCCGCTGCTGCTGGGGACAGAAGCTTTTGTTGTGGCCAAAAGTTCAAGTTTCCAGCTTCCTCTTCCTCCACCTGTCAGGAAGGCCCGGCTCGCAGGCGCTGAGCACAAACTCAAACATGCCCTGTGGGCTCCCGGAGTCGCTCACCCAGAACTCCCGGGCTCGGAGGCCTGAATAGAAGCCCCATATGTTCAGCGCGGGAAGGGGGTGTGCAGAGAGGGGAGCCGAGTGCCTATGCTGCAATAGGAGATGCCCAAAGCCAAAGGAATCACTAGATCAGCTGCCTTCTTTGCTCTGAAAGTGGAGGGCATCCTTCTTTCGCTCCCCCCGAAGAACAAATTTATCCTCCCTGAGATGCATCCCTTCTCTTTCTCTCTCTCTCTCCCCCCCCCATTAGTGGGGTGGTTTTTGTATCTTCCAAAAGGCCCCTGGCCAGAAAGTCCCCTCTGGAATGTTGGGGGGTTCTCACCATAAACAAGGAAGCATGAATTTGGCAGGCTCCTGAAGCTTGGATAAGGCATTGCAGCAGCGCTTCTGAATACAAGTTACTGGAGAGCCCACAGGAGAGGAGAGTTGCTCCTGTGTTCGAATCCTGCTTGTGGGTTTCACACAGGCATCCGGTTGTCCACTGTGAGAAGAGGAGGCTAGGCTAGATGGGCCGTTGGCCTGATCCAGCAAGCTCTTCTTACATTCTTACGAGTTGCACCTTCCCAGTTTATCCTAGTCCGGGGAGGCAGGCAAACCAGCCTCTCTCTTCCATGGACTGCGTGGTAACATTCTCGGGTGGGGACGTTTGTACTTCCGTCAGATGAGGTTGTCTTTCAGAGGCTAATGATGATAATAGCATTTATAGAATGCCATAGACTATCCAACTAATTTTGCACAGTGTCCTGTCATAACTATTACAATGGTTTGTGGAATGCTCTCCCCGGGGAGGTTCGTCTGGCACCATCATTATACCCCTTTAGGTGCCAGGTGAAAACATTCCTCTTCAAACAGGCCTTTGCCTGATGATGAGCCAATACCCTTGTAAATGCTGGCTTCTGGGGCTGATGGGAACTGGATGGTTCCCAGGTCTCTGAGCCGTGCTCTCCAGGGCTCACTTTCTAGTCCTGCACATGAAATTTCAAGTTTTCAACTCTTTCTGTAAATTTGCAATGCTCGTATTTGTGGGACAGGAGACACTGATGAGATTTAATCTTCCACTTTGCAAATTCCTGGCTGAACCTTGTGTTGCTGCTCTGTGAAGATGCACCTCTAGGTGTCTGTGGATGAGCAGCTCTTTGGGAGCCATTCAGCCGAGTGCCTCAGGTGTTGTTTGGTTAAAATGCGGGTAAACATCCTTAAAGATTGATCAGAGAATTTTATTTAATTAACAATAAAATACCCCTGCTGGTAAATACATTTGGTTGTCTAGGAGCTGAGCAGTGGTCGTCGCTCTATTGATTTGTTGTGATTAAATCAGGCTGGGAATATATTAATGATGATCACGAGTGCCCCGAACATAAAGTTCAGCCATTTCACAAAGCTGCTAAGTTGCTCAGCACCAATGTGCTGATTTTAAAAAATGCCCCTAATTGAAATGTCGATGCACGCTGTGCTCCTCGCGCTGCGGTCACCCTGCATTCTGACTTTCTCAGTTCATCATTCTAGAGGGCCTTAAGCAACTTGTGTCCTGTTCCCGAACACAGGCTCTTGTTGCTGACCGTAATCAGTGAGGGCTTTGTGGCCTCATCTTGCTCACTCTGGAGCACCTCCCATGTCCCAGAACAGGCACAGTCCTTATGATGCCCCATCCAGATGTTGTATTCCAGCTCTCATCAGCCCCAGAGAGGTCAGGTGTGATGGTCAGGTGTGATGGAAGTTGTAGCTTAGCAGTTTTTGAGGGAATTGGGTTATGTTTCGCCTGGAGAAGAGAAGACTCGGAGGTGATGTGAGAGCCATCTTTAGATATCTGAAAGGCTGTCACTTGGGGGAAGAGGCAAGCTTGTTTTCTGCTGTTCCAGAGGGTAGGACCCAGATTCAAATTAATCGAAAGGAGATTCCAACTAAATACTTGGAAGAACTTTCTGATAACATGAGGTCTTGGACGGTGGAACGGACTTCCTCAAAAGTTGGTGGACGCTCCTTCCTTGGAGGTTTTTAAACAGAGGTAGGATGGCCGTCTGTTGGGGATTCTTTGGTTGTGATTCCTGCATTGCAGGCAGTTGGACTAGAGGACCCTTGGGGTCCCTTCCAACTCTGTGTTTCTTTAATATCTGGAGGGCCACAGATTAACCGCTTCTGCTGTAAGAGCAGTGAGCAATCAGCCAGCCGCTTGTTGGGAATTGCTTTGCTGTGACTCATCTTGTCCTTTTAAAAATGGTGTTACCTGGGCTGCTTCCTTGTCCTTCTGTGGAACATGCTTATCCTTCCTGTTCAAGGCAGACATGGGCCCTGCCACTTCTGGAGTGGGGTATTTCCTTTTTCCTTTTCATGGCTCAGCTTTGAGCCTTCAGAGCTTTGAGTTCTGCCTTCTGGCTCATGAACGTCCCCTGGTGCTAAGACCAGATGGGCGGCATCCTGCCCTGCAAGAGCATTGCCAGGTGAGACCTCGCAGTGGTGGCAGCACCTTCTCCCAGGACTCTTTGCCGGAGGTTCCTCTTGCTATCGGCTTTCAACATCAGGTCATCACAACACCTTCCCAGTTTTAAGGAGGCTTCTGGAGAGAGAGTGCAAAGATGACTGCTGGTCATCTTGGGCTTAATTCGTTTGGGATTTATACCTGGCTTCATGGTGTTTTTGCATTTTGGTTGGATTTTACCCATTAGCTGGTTAGAAGTGCAGCTGATAAGAGCAATCGACGTACAATTCAAATAGCATAAAACACAACAACTGCATCCCTTGGCTTGTCGAGTTTCTATGTTTATCACATGTCAGGGCCCAGAGGCAGGTTCTGTGGTCCAGCGGAAGCAGAGTGTTGAATCTCAAAGGCAGCAACTGTCAATCTGAAGGAGCAGAGGCAGGAAAAATCATAATCTGGTGCAGGCAAGCTGGCGGTCTGGTTTCCAGCAGGCAGCTGCTTGAGAGAAAGCTGTTTCCAGAGCACCTACTTTGACTGGCAGATTGCTCAGACTGAGGAGCCAAACCAGAGGCAAGCTTAAATGAGGCTGGTCTTGCCCCTATTGCCACTCCAGGCATCTGGTCCAGTTGAGCTGATGAGCTGCAGTACTGCACTCTGGCCATTATTTAGGGGGGCGCTGCAGAGTAGGAGGGGTCAGGCCAACAGCTTCCTTTCCCTGAGAGCTGCCCCCCATTGCCCCAGGAAGGAAGGCCCCTACATATTGCTACCAAACACCCTGGTTTGAGTCCCCTAGCATCTTCTGCCTTCGAGTCAGTGCCCCATTCTTTGAGTCGGTGCATTTGAGCCAGGAAAGGTGTCCTGTTTGCCTACCACGAAGAGGTGGGAAATTGGGGGGAGGAACAGATCAATAAATCCTCAGACTTTTGTCATGCCAAAATTTTGTGAGCTGAGGAGAAAAATGGAGGGTTGGCTTCTTTGATGATGTTCAAAGAAGGGAAGAGAGAAAAAGAAGCTTTCTGTGAGTGGTTGGACAGGCAATACAGTGGTACCTTGGGTTAAGTACTTAATTCGTTCCGGAGGTCCATTCTTAACCTGAAACTGTTCTTAACCTGAAGAACCACTTTAGCTAATGGGGCCTCCTGCTGCCACCGCGCCGCCATAGCACGATTTCTGTTCTCATCCTGAAGCAAAGTTCTTAACCCGAGGTACTATTTCTGGGTTAGCGGAGTCTGTAACCTGAAGCGTCTGTAACCCAAAGCGTATGTAACCTGAGATACCACTGTACTGTCAAGGGATATTCTCTCCCCATTTGATATATTGAAGGCTCCTGTTTGTAAGAGTAAGGAAGTAGTTTGTTTTTACATTTTTATCCCTCAATTATTTGATTTCATCTTGCTTATATCTCTTTTAATGGTAACCAATAGAATAGATGTTGTTTTTAAAAAGCAGAGTGCTTTTGCGTCTGCATGTGTGTGTATAAACCTTGAAAGCCTTGTAAACATGAACAATGATATTAAACTCAAGTGCCTCTTCTTGCATTGAGCATTGTTTAAACTTTTATAGCCAAGGCTGGCCCAAAACATTTTGCTGCCTGAGGCAAAGCAGCAAATCTCCCTCCTTCTCCACCTATGTGGAAGTACAACATAGCCATTGTGGTTTGTGGCCACAATGGAGCCTTATCCTCCAAGAATATGGCTATTCATATTCTGAAGCCAAGTTGGCGGCCATCTCTGCATCGGGGGGGGGGGGATTCCGTTGCTTAACTCAGCACTGTACAAAGAAGTGAATTTTGTCTGTCCTGAATCTTCAAATACTCAGCTTCATTGGACATCCGGGAGATCTAGTATTCTGAGAGAGGGAGAAAAGTGTTTCTCAACACTGCATAATTTTATACACTGGATACTTTAGTTGAGATTCCTGCATTGCAGGGGGGTTGGACTAGAAGACCCTTGGGGTCCCTTCCAACTCTTAAGAGTCTATAATTCTGTTACCTCAACCTCTCACTCGCGTATTTTGTAAACTAAAAAGCCCCAAACGCTGCAGCTTTTGGGGGAGTTACTCCAACTCATTGATCATTATGAGTGGTCTTTTCTGAACCTTTTCCAACTCCACAATCTCCTTTTTGAGGTTGGGCGATCAGAACTGTATGCAATATTCCAAATGCGATCAAACGGTGGATTTGCCTTTTTTGCGGCTCCTCCTTGAGAGGCCAATGGTGCATTCACCTTGCGCTCATACAGAGTCACCAATGCCTCTGGAAAGCACAGCAGTAACAGCAGGGATCAGGGTGAGAGCCAGTGCAGTACAGCCTGAAGTAACCCTATAGAACTGTATAGAGCAGGCATGTCCAACAGGTCTACCGGTAGATTACTGGCCGTCTGTAGTAGATCACTGGTAGATCACTGCCTCCCCCCAAAGAAGCTCAACAACTTTGGCTTCCCTAAAGAAAACTCAATATTTTTGCCCTGCACCCTCAGAAATCAAGGCTTTCCTTTCCTCCTTCTTTGACCTGAACCCCTAAAAAGCAGGCCTTCCTCCTTCCTAAAAAAAAGCTTCAACAACTTTGACCTGAACCCCAAAAAGGGGATAGATCACTGCCAGTTTTTAACACAGAGTAGATTGCAGTCTCTTGGGAGTTAGCCACCCCTGGTGTAGAATTACGGGAACAGACCTCTGAGGGGTGAATCTGCCTAGGATTGCCCCGGTGATATGTAGCGTGATGGGGACCAGCAAAGCTAAGGACGGCTTTTGGTCGGGTGGTTGGAGGACCTTTGGAGAGCTTCCAGATGGAGCAGGGGTGTGGGTTTCTGCCGCAGGCGATGCTGCTTTGAGCATGGGCCATGCAGCTGCAAGGCGCTCTCTGGTTACTCCGGTAAACACAGCCCTGTCTGCCCAGTTGACATCCAATCCGGGCCTCCCCCAGGCTGATGGAGCTCGCGGCTGCTCAGCCCGTCACTACAGGTTCATTTCCTCTTTTTTTTTTTAGTAGGCAAGGGAGAATCTGTTTGGCTCGAGCACACAGTCCTCTTGGGGTGATGGGCTGCACAGAATGTGAATGGGCAGTCCTCAGAAGACAAATGGCGCAGCGCAGAACTTGCCTTCCTCATTCATTGGGGCAGGCAACCTTTTCCCTTTGAGAGCCACATTCCCTTGTGGGGAGTAGTCTCTTGGGGGTTGCATGCTGGCAGGGGAGGAGCTACAGTTGAAGGTGGGTGGGGCCAAAGTTAATTCTGGATTAATTAGCCCAGAATAAAGAAACCCCACCCCACCACCCCAGTTTTCAGCATGGCTGCCTCAAATGAAATTCCCAGTCCTGGGCAGGCCTACTAAGAAGTAAGCCCCACTGAGTTTGATGGGGTTACTCTCAAATAAATAAGCAGAGCATTATTTTTTCAGTTCAGCAGCCCGATACAGCTACTGTTCAGGGAAGCGAGTGAAAGTAATTCCATCCCGACTTTAGTTTGATATACACATATATGCGCGCGCACACACACACATACAGAGCAGAAGTCTTTCTATTCTCAGTCAGCTGGGAGACAAACTTCTTTTCTCCAAGCCATAGCATACAACTTAGAAAATAGTTTTAAAATAACATCCATTTTTGTCTATATTGCCTCTTCTAGTTGTTCTGATATTGTGCATATAGAATAAGGGAAAATGCATTCAGAAGCCAGGAAAGCAAACAAGGAAGAAGGGATTGGGATGGGAGGGAGGGAGGGGTCAGCTACAGGTGTCTGTGGATGGGCAGGTTGTTTAACTGAGTCATAGATGCTCCATGGCTAACAGATATGCTTCCTCTCCCTCTTTCTCTCTGTTCAGGTTGTTGCAGGAAGGTGCCAGTGTGAATGCCCGGCACAAACTTGGCTGGACAGCTCTGATGGTAGCTGCTATAAACCGAAATTCAAGGTGTGTTATTAATTTTTCTTTGTAAAAAAGGTGCATATGACACCCACTCATGTAAAACACCAAGGCAGCATACAGCAATATACGCAAATGCCATCAAACATACGACACATTAAACATGGTAGGAAATGATCCTTAAAATGTCTGGCTCATCTTGAAAAAAATCAAGCAATTGAACAAGCCTGAATAGGCTTTTAAAGGGTCCCCCAAGAGGCATCCAAAAGGTAGCAGCGAGGTTGCCCGTTGACTCTGCTGGAAATTTGGTGTGCGTCACGAAGAGTCGGACACGACTAAACAACAACAACAAGGTTTCTTTACCGCCTTTCTTACAGGAGATTCTGAAGGCTATATACCATTTAAAACAATTGAACTGAATAAAATGGAAACAACAGATACAAGTAATAAAGTAATAAAATAGCCACATAATGGAAGGAAGACCTCAGCCTCCACAGGGCTGGTGAAGTAAACATGTATTGGGTTGTGTCCAAAAGAAGGTGAGCAGAGAGGATAATTGGACCGTGATTTTGGCAAGGGGGGGGGGGAAATGCCACAGTCAAGGAGCTGAGCTGGTTTTGGGGAGAAAACCATTTGGCTTCCACTTCCTCCAGAGTGACTTGAAGTCGGTTCAAGTTCTCACCCAGCTGAGAATGCTCTTCTTGTTGCAGTGTCCTGCTTTGAGCCGAATGCACAAAACGTCTAGCAGCAGGACATGAATAGAGAAGCCCAGTTTGGGGCGTTGTGTACTCCTGCAATGAATGGTGGTTTGGGTGCGTCCTTGCCCAGCTCCCACCCATTCCATTCCATTGCAGCCCCTTCTCCCCCCTTTCCACTTTTCAGCAGCAGAGTGTCAAAGGGTGCAAAACAGGGCATTGTTAAACTATGGAGGGTGATTGGTGGCAACGGTTGGCTTTAAAAGAGGATTTGGAAAGTTTACGGGAGAATAAGTCTATCAGTACTTACTATCCACGATACCTATACTCTGCCTAAACTGCAGTATGCCTCTGAATACCAGTTGCTGTTGCACTCAGGTCCAGCTCAGAGGCTTCCCAGAAGAGGCAATGGGTCAGTGACTGGGAGAACAGGATATTGGACCAGATGGGCCTTTGGCCTGACCCAGCAGCCGGGCTCTTATGAAAGGCTTTTCTCCTTTGAGGATTTGTAGGTTGTTACCTGCTCTGCGCAGGATACGGGTGGCGCTGTCGGTTAAACCACAGAGCCTAGGACTTGCCGATCAGAAGGGTGAGCTCCCGTTGCTCGGTCCCAGCTCCTGCCAACCTAGCAGTTCGAAAGCACATCAAAGTGCAAGTAGATAAACAGGTACCGCTCCGGCAGGAAGGTAAATGGCGTTTCCGTGTGCTGCTCTGGTTCCCCAGAAGCGGCTTAGTCATGCTGGCCACATGACCCGGAAGCTGTACGCCGGCTCCCTCGGCCAATAAAGCGAGATGAGCGCCGCAACCCCAGAGTCAGTCACGACTGGACCTAATGGTCAGGGGTCCCTTTACCTTTACCTGCTCTGCGCACCAACACTAGAACTCATGAATATCCACTGAAACTGAATGTTGGAAAATTAAGGCAGATAACAGGAAGGACACCAACATGGATGGCTTTGAAAGAGGGATGGACAAATTCACGGAGGAGGGGGTGATTCATGGTTGCTAGCCATGATGTCTATGGTCTGCCTCTCCAGTTGGAGGCAGCAGTGCTTCTGAATACCAGTTGCTGGGAGCCACAGGAAGGGGGTGCGCTCTTGTGTTCAAATCCTGCTTGCGGGTTTCCCAATGTGGTATCTGGTTGGCCCCTGTGAGAAGAGGGTGCTGGACTAGATGGGCTCCTCTTGTCTTCTTATGTTCTTAAGGCTTCAGAAATAGGGTGGGTTAGAAATCAGAACCTCGTTATTCATAGCATAGGAGCAGGGTAGGCTTCTGCAGGTCCACCCACGGGGTTCCGTTGCCTTGCTTTTTCCTGCCGGTCTTTCTTTGCCTTTGTGTTTCCTGTCCTGCCTTTCTGGGCCGAAGGAGCCTCTCTGCCCTAACATCCCTTTAGTTCCCAGGACAATCGCCGTGTCTCCTTGTAACCTTTAAAGGCAGCTCTTCAATGCGTTCAGTCTACAACTAAATTCAATTAGTTTTCTTATTTAAAGATGGAGTGAAAGAGGGCGGGGGGGGAGAGAGAGAGAGAGAGAAATCCAATTTTCGGAAACGTGGGACAGCCAGTTGGAATGGGCTTTGATGTTACAACCTCTCAGGGGCGCTTTACTTAGTCACAAGTTCATAAGCAAAAAAGGCCTAATTATTTGGGAAAACACAGGATTAAACGGGCTCACAAAGGCCGAATATCCGCTCTCGGGCGACGCGATACGAATCCATGTGCCGAGTTCGTGTGTGGTGCAAACTTTGATGTGTGCTATGACAAGCTGAAAGTCGTGACCCCCTCGGGGAGCTCCTTAAGACAGGCCAAGAGGCAGGGGGTGGACCCTGGGGGTCTGTTTGTTTAACTTTGATGTCCGAGCAGGCAACGGGCTCCCTTGTTGGAGGGGTGGGTTGAGCGCCCCCCCCCCGACCTTTGCAGGTGGACAATGGCCAGCGGTGGAGTGTGACGATTGTTGACCATTCCGAGTGGCTGGTGGACCAGAACAGGGTTTCGGGAGAAAGGCTGTTCATGGTACAATAATTGCCCCAGATGGTTCCTCGTCCCAGCCTTTGCCCAGTGTTAAGCCTTTTATCTGCAAGAGTGGCTGAAGCTCCGACTCTGTGCTCGCCTGCCTGCCGGGTGCAGAACCAGTGTGGTTTCTTGGTTAAGGCTTGGTACAAAATGTTTGTGGGAGTGGCGGCTTAATCTAATTTCTTTCTTTTTATAAGAAAGGTCCTTGGATAAATGGCTCTCATTGGGGCCAGCCTCTGAGAATATACAGTGGTACTTCGGGTTAAGTACTTAATTCGTTCCGGAGGTCCGTTCGTAACCTGAAACTGTTCTTAACCTGAAGCACCACTTTAGCTAATCGGGCTTCCCGCTGCCGCCGTGCTGCTGCTGCGCGATTTCTGTTCTCATCCTGAAGCAAAGTTCTTAACCCGAGGTACTTCTGGGTTAGTGGAGTCTGTAACCTGAAGCGTATGTAACCTGAAGCATATGTAACCCGAGGTACCACTGTAATCTGAGGTCCAGCGCCGAGGGCCTTCTGGCGGTTCCCTCATTGCGAGAAGCAAAGCTACAGGGAACCAGGCAGAGGGCCTTCTCGGTAGTGGCGCCTGCCCTGTGGAACGCCCTCCCATCAGATGTCAAAGCAATAAATAACTACCTGACATTTAGAGGGCATCTTAAGGCAGCCCTGTTCAGGGAAGCTTTTAATCTGTGATATTTTACTGTATTTTTTGTTTCTATGGAAGCCGCCCAGAGTGGCTGGGGAAACCCAGCCAGATGGGCGGGGTACAAATAATAAATTATTATTATTATTATTATTATTAATGAGAAGCTGATGAAGTCAGTGTCATAGTTTCCCCTCTTGCAGTCAGAGGATAATACAGTGGTACCTCTGGATGCAAATGGGATCCATTCCAGAGCCCCGTTCACATCCTGAAGCGAACGCAACCCGCGCATGCGTGGGTCGCGATTCGCCACTTCTGCGCATGCGCGTGACGTCATTTTGAGCGTCTGCGCATGCGCGAGCTGCAAAACCCAGAAGTGACGCACTCCGTTACTTCCGGGTCACCACGGAGCGTAACCTGAAAACGCTCAACGCATTTAACACGAGGTATGACTGTACAGAGGCATTGCCCTGATTCTCATTCTTCCAGTTTCCCTGGGCCTGGAGCTCTCCTTGCAAGACACACCTTCCGTTTACTCTAAGGGACCTCCGTTTGAAATGGACCTCAAGAGGTTTGCAGCCTGGTCTATTACATAGTTGTATTTAATATAAGGCAGCCTTCGCCAGCCTGGTGCCCTCCGGATGTTTGGGCCAGCTGGGCTCGATGGGAGTTGTAGTCCAAAACATTTGGAGGGCACCAGTTTGGTGGCAGCTGCAGCTGCTTCGAGTTGTATGTACGTCAGGGGCAAGCGAGAACCGTTTTGGGAATTCCTGCTCCAAATAGTTTATTCATGCACGTCACACGTCCCATCTCTCAGTGGAAGTGCACAGTGGAATAGGAGTGATCCTCAGTTGCTGCAGCTGCTCCAGAGAGTGCAGACCTGGGTGGGAATAGCTGCCTAGGCTCTAGATTTTTGTTCGCAGGTAACCAGAGCTGTGGAAGCAACTGTAAGCATAATCTTTAGCAATAAAGAGTTAACCACCTACCGTGTGCATGCCTTTGAATGGGAAGCACCCTTGATACCTTCCCTCCAGAGCAGGAGAAAACAAGCTTGTTCCAGCTTCCATGTGACAGCCCATAAACCCTTCTAGGTTAGCGACCATCATTGCCTCTTGTGGGAGCAAGTTCTGTAATTCAACTGTGCACTGCGGGAACATGGACTTCACCTTTTTCTCCCTCTCTGTGTTGTGCTTGTCACTTGAGGTCCACGTTGACCACCGGCTGCCTTGATCAACCAGATCTGGCTGCTGCCGTCCAGAGGCCCTGGCTCATTCTTCCAGCAAACTCCCATTCCTTCTTTCCAGGGGGTTGGACTAGATGACCCTCAGGGTCCCTTCCAGCTCTGCAGCTCTTTGAGTCTATCAGTCCAGCTGTCGCGGCGCAAGCGTCCCTTCCAGCCCTTCCTCCCGATCACGTCACCCGGCCGCTAACAGCAGAAAGCACTTTTGCCGTCATCGATTTAACTGCCTGGTGAACTTTAGTTAAAGGCTGCCCTCTGGGTCAATGCAGATTTTTATATATGTGCAGATGAGGAGGCTCTGCTGCTAATGCATTTAAGACCTGATCAGCAAATTAAAGGCCTAGTTTGTTGAGGCGATTGAGCACCAGCTCAATCACAAGTTATTGAAACTCACAAGGCTGCCTGCTTCATAATGTATTTAGTGAGCCCCTCTTATGAGGGGCGGGGGGTGGGCTTCACTGTCTGTGTCACACACACACATACACCATGCAAAAGTCCCAAAGAGGAAACACAGTCGCTGTGGGACTCAGGGTCACTTCACACATCACACAAGAACACGAGAGACCAGGATGCCCCCTGTTTCCCTTTTTTAAAACCCCACGTCTGCTGTCTCTGTGCCAGGGGGCTGTGGTTTGTTTCCAGGTCCTCATGCAAGCAAGCGCTCAAAGCCTCGGATCCTGCAATAGTCATGTGCTGCACCCATCTTTGCAGCCTGTGAGATTTTGTGATACGTGAAATGGGACTTTGGGAAACAGTCACACCTGAAGTTATCAATGCCACTTTTGAAAAGGGGCAGAAACATTATTCACTTAATTGATGCAATAAATCAGCAGGAATTCTGATTGTAGAGTAAAATTTGCATCATTCTTTGGGCTAGCCTATCGAGCTGTTGAAAAGCTGGGACTCTGAAGTTTTGAAGGAATAGCTCTTCTCTGATCTAGCTGGCTGTAATTTGGTAGGAGGATTCTTGCTTTCTTGTTCTTTGTTTAAAATAACTAAATCTCTCTCTCTCTCTCTCTCTCTCTCTCACACACACACACACACACACACACACACATTGTTTTAATCACTTTGTTGTTACGATCTCATAACCCACCCACCTCCAAGGCCTGCCGAGTCCTGTGATAGGATATAAATACAATAAATGAATAAAAATGACTTTTTAATGGCTATTTTACTTCTCAGTCACCTTTGCAAAGGCTAATTTGCTTGAAAGTTGGAGTATGTTTTGTTACCTGCCAATTGGACAGGGCCAATCAATATCTGCAATTGCTCAAATGTCAGGCTGCCTCTGCGAAAGGGAACAGTGGTAATGTGAGCTGCCTGGAGGGGATGGCCTGCCATTTTCTTGGGACATTAGGCTGAAGGGCAATTGTATGTGAAGAAGACCTTTTATAGCCTCTCCATAGATCAGGCTGTTCCTTCCACTTCCTGTTTACAGCAGTCCACGTCAAACCAGGCATGGGGTGTGTGGCATAGTAGGGGTGAATCCAGGCCGTTTCCCATAGACGCCTCGATTTGGTTGGGCTGCCATCACCGACATTACCTAACTTCAGCCCGCTGATGGACATCCGCCCGGCGATCAATACCGACCGCGACGCCGGGAGTCGCGGCCGGATGGTCAGGCCAGTGAGCCAAGGGGCAATGCCGCAGAAGGAGGGGGCAAAGGCTCATCACCGCACATCCTCTTTCCAGGTGGCCATTCTGGGCTGAGGCAGAATATAGGGACAGCCTCGCTGGAGCAGACCATATCTTGTCTTCTGTTTTCTCAGCTCCCAGCTTTGCTTATTTGAAAGTGAGCCCCCTTGCCCACCCCAACAATACCTTGCTTAACTCCTTCCCCAGAGAAGTTCAGGAACCAGGCAGAGGGCCTTCTCGGTGGTGGCACCTGCCCTGTGGAATGCCCTCCCATCAGATGTCAAGGAAATAAACAGCTACCAGACTTTTAGAAGACATCTGAAGGCAGCCCTGTTTAGGGAAGCTTTTAATGTTTAACAGACTATTGTAATTAATATTTTGTTGGAAGCTACCCAGAGTGGCTGGGGAAACCCAGCCAGATGGGCAGGGTATAAATAATAAATTATTACTATTATTATTATTATTATTATTATATTATTATTATTATTATTATTATTATTATTATTATTATTATTCATTATACACCTTTAGATGCCAGACAGAAACGTTCCTTTTTAACCAGGCCTTTGGTTGATCTGCTTTACATCCTATTCCCTTTTAAAATGTTTTTTTTGGGGGGGCTATTGGGTTGTTGTTGTTGTTTTTTTAATTATGTATTTTGTGGTTTTATAACTTGATTTTATTCTGTGAACTGCCCTTAGACCCCCGGGTATAGGATGGTGTATAAATAATAATAAACTATAATAATAATGTATATACATTCAATAATATATATATGTATATTATTTTCGAACAGTGTGGTAAAGCTTCTGCTCACGGCCGGAGCTGACCCAAACCTAGGAGATGAGTTCAGCAGTGTCTACGAGACGGCCAAAGAGAAAGGGCTCCACTCCCTGGAAGGTAACGCAACACGGTTTGTTTGTTTTTCATTTATTTATTTCATAAATAATCTATGTACTGCTTGATTGCAACAAAAACTTCAAAGTGGTTTGCTAAAAGATAAAATAAAATAAAATCACAACTATGCTTTAAAACATACAAAAGTTAAAATAGATTAAACAGATTAAAAATGCCTCAATTTTCTAAGCATAAATAAACTCAGGACCACCTGCTGAACAATGGTTGATGGTTCAGGACAGAAAAAAGAAAGTGCTCCTTCACACAGCACAAAGTTAAACTAAGGAAATCTCTCCCAGAGGAGGCAGCGATGGCCTCCTAACTTGGATGGCCGTGAAAGGGGCTTAGACAAATTCATGGAGAATAAAGCTGTTCACAGCCACTGCCTGCGATGGTTATGCTCTGCCCTCCAGTAAATGCTTCTGAATACCAGTTGCTGGAAACCACAGGAGAAGAGAGGAGAGGGCTGCTCTTGTTCTCTGGTTCCGCTTGTGGGTTTCCTGTAATGGGCATCTGGTTGGCCACTGTGGTGGGAACAAGATGCTGGACAACATGGGCCTTTGGCCTGCTCCAGCAGCTTCTTGTTAGGTTCTTACATTGTCTGCCGTGGATTCCTTTACTCTGCAGACCACCGCATCTCTCCAACAGTTGTCAGGGCAACACACCAACCTCAGGCCCAGCACCTTGCATTTCCAACCAAGTAGGATGCACTCTTCAAACATCCTGCCAATTCTGGCATGCAAAGGACGGCCTGCTGCAAAAGGCCACAGGCTGAATGGCTCTGTCAAGGAGGTTAACACAATCGCCGTGGCTGGTTTTTTGTTTGTTTGTTTTAACCCTAATGTAAAATCTGGATCCTGAACTTGCAAAAAGAGATGGAGAGAGAAAACCTTTGCTCTAAGGAAAGGGTGAGCTCCAGATAAGGCCGGGGTTTAAACAAACAACTTTCAATGCTGGGAGAAATCCATCACCTGATTCTGGAAATGTACCGCCTCCAAGCCATGGGGACCACGAACGGCTTCCTTGGGGAGGGAGTTTCAAAGTTGCCTGGGAACAGCCACCACTGTGAAGGCCCTCTCCTCCATCCCCACCAGGCATCCCTGTGAGGGCAGTGGGACTGAGAAAAGGGCCTCCCCTAAAGAACTCAGAACCCAGGCAGGTCCATATTAGGAAATACGGTCTCTCAGATAGCTGGGACCTAAGCCATAAAACCTTTGTGGTCTCTAATAATAGGTAAAGGTATCAGTAGGTAAAGACGTCTATTTTACCTACACTTGAGTATATATTGCACAATGTGGACCTAAAAGATGCCAGATTTCCCTTCCAGCTTACATCTTGCCTTCTCTACCTGTATGATCTGGTCCATACGTCCGCAACTTTCATTTCTGCTGCTTTTCAGACAACTTAAGGTCTTACACATCGCCTCATTTTTCTCTCTGGCAGCAGCAGAACGGAAATTTTGCAAAGGGCTTTGCTGTTCTCCAGCAATGCCATTTCTTTGAATGCTAACCTGAGTTGCCATTTATTTAGGAAAGGCCAGTCAAGGTTAAAAGTCAGGGTCAGCAGATCAAATTTCAGAGCAAAAGAAAAAGAAAGAAGAGCACTTGCAGGCGTGGGCAGCAGGCTCTTCTCTAGCACTGAATGCAAAACAACATCTTAAACAAAGGAAAGCATCTTCCTAGACTTTGTTTACATCAAGAATATATCAACTAATGAATTAATTTGGTGGGGAGGGGCTGCGTCCTCTCCCTTTCCATCTATAAAACTTTTTGGCTGAGGAGGGGAGGAGTGAGATAGCTGGAGTGGAGGAAAATATAGCCACTCAGAAGGAAGTTGCATTAATTTTGAGGGTGGGGGTTGACATGTTTTATTAAAAAGAATAAATTCAGCTGCATTTTTTTGAGAGCAAGAGGGAGGGAGGGAGAAAGGAGATTGTGCATGTGAGAAAGAAAAACTGCCTTTGTTTTGCAGGGTTATTTTTAACGATTTGCATATTTTGTGTATAAATTTTTTTTTTTTCATAAAAGCATCCAAATCAGGGGAGCTGTGCGGCAGGGCCGCCACGCGCAAAATATATTACAGACATTTATATGGATGGCAGGGAGGGGAGATGGAGAGCTGAAAATTTCCAGGCTCCCCCGTGATTGATGGCAGGCAAGGCTCCCCTTGACGCTTTATTGAGTTTCCGATGATTATCTCTCGCGGAGACATTTTTTACGGATGACGGCCGAGCTGTCACGGCGGACCACGGGGGGAAAAGCAGCCCAACAATAATAACGCTTTAATCTTTTTACTGCACTGCTCCCTAGTATCTCAGATTCATCTTCCCTGACACCAGCCACTTGATTATCCTGCCCCTCCCTGGATAGGCAAAGGAGAGCAGGGAAGCAAACAAACAAACAAACAAATAAGCAAGCATATCTCAATTCTCCCCCCCCCCCGGAAAAAAACACCCCCTACACAAAGCATGGTCATACAAAAGTCACACCAATTGCTACTTCTGTAGGTGTTGAGGTTTATTAGCAGTGATGCCAGACAGGAGAGAACCCAGCTATTAATTACAATATTTTAGATGTGGCTCCTTTTATAACTTGGGTTTTTTTGGAGTGGGGGAGTGGAAGGCGGTGGTAGGAAGGCGCCGTAGACGCCGTTTGCTGCCGAGGAGCCGATCTGAGCGCCTGTTCCCTGATCCTGCTAAGCACTACTTGCCCCAAGAATGGGGAGAGAAGGAAGGGCTCAACTTTGCAGGGATGCCTCCGCTGCAAAGCTCCTGAGCCAATTCCTGAGCTGGCTTAAGTGCCTCTGCTCTTCCCAGGAACCCCCTGGGGAAGGAGAGCCAACCAGAGATCCCTTCACCCTTCTTAGAATTCACTGGCTGTTGGGAGGGGGGCACTTGAAGGAGAGCCAGCCCACGGCACTTTCTCTGGTCTAACACCAGCGGCAGCCTTGCACAAGGGATGGCGCCTGGGGAAGAAATCACGGTCCATCCTCCAGACCGTTTCCTTGTTTGAAGAGCATCACAAGGGGCTGGGGGGGCGTGGCTTAGTGGTACCTTGCATGGGTTGTGCATGGGAAAGGCAGTAAATCTGGAAGGGGCCTTGGGCAGCCACAGCGCTGGGCAGGGTGCTCTGACTTCGCTTAAAACAATTCTGTGCATTGTGTCCTTGTGTCTCTCTGCCCGTCTCCCCGGTCCAGGAACACTAAAGTCTTGAATCAAGCAACAAGAAGTCTTTTGCCCCGGGGATTTTAATAAACCACTTGGGTTCTTTTTATTTCATTCATTCATTCATTTTATTTGTATGCCGCTTTTCCATCCAAAAAACAACAGCAAACCCATTCTCAAAGCTGCTTGCAACAAAGAAACAGGGATGCATTTCCTACGAACTCTGCAAAAACAATTTCATAATATCGTCGTGAAACAATAACAGCAACCATATCACAGCATAGCAAATCAAAGCATACAAAAAAAACCCCACATTCTAATTCTAGAAATATAACAAGATTACTTAAAGAACATTATTATTATTATTATTATATTATTATTATTATTATTATTATTATTATTATTATTATTATATTGAATTTGTATACTGCCCTATAGTCCCATGTCTCAGACCACATTTTCAGATCCGTTTCTGTAGCCATGAGGACTAGCAGCATTGATTTGATATCTGCAGTCTTCTGCTCAGCCTACAAAAACACATTAATTCCGTCAGATATTTGAAGAACAACAGCAGAAGTATACACAAATCTTTTCCTGGAGGAGCAGGCTTATCAGTGGCTATGCCATGGGTAGGCAAACTAAGGCCCGGGGGCCGGATCCGGCCCAATCGCCTTCTCAATCTGGCCCACAGACGGTCCGGGAATCAGCGTGTTTTTACATTAGAATGTGTCCTTTTATTTAAAATGCATCCCTGGGTTATTTGTGGGGCATAGGAATTCACTCACATATTTTTTTCAAAGTATAGTCTGGCCACCCACAAGGTCTGAGGGACAGTGGACCGGCCTCCTGCTGAAAAAGTTTGCTGACCCCTGGGCTCTGCTCTGCCTCCACAGTTAGAAGCAACAATGCTTCTAAATGCCAGTTGCTGGAAGCCACAGGAAAGTTCTTGTGATCAAATCCTGCTTGCAGGTTTCCCACAGGCCTTTGAGAAACGGGCACTGGGCTCGATGAGCTCCCTTTGGGCTGATTCACCAGGACAATACTTATGTTCCTCTGATGTCCCCTTCTTTGAGGACCACCTAGCTAGATGTCTCAGCTACTTCTCCTCCATCCGGCAGTGGCCATGATTCATCTTCTCCCCCTGCCATCCCCTTCCCTTTGCAGTTCTGGTCACACGGGAGGACGACTTCAACAACCGCCTGAACAACCGGGCCAGTTTCAAGGGCTGCACAGCTTTGCATTATGCTGTGCTGGCGGACGATTACTCCACGGTCAAGTTGCTTCTGGATGGAGGTAAGGGAAGAGCCGTCATCACTGGGCGTGGGGAGGGCAAGGGGTGCCCGTTGCCCGCTGGAACTTTGGGCACAGAATCTGATGATAGAGACAGCAATTTTAGTCAGCATAGTTGTTGCACACACACACAAAGGAAAGAAAATGGCTTACATTTTGTTTTTCTTTACATATATTTACTACATAGCAGGTATAATAACAGATGCCAAATAAAATAAAAGTAGAAAATAATGTCTCGAAGTAAACATAAAGGAACGATACGATAATCTTTATTGTCATTGTCCCATACAGAACAATGAAATTGAAAAATCTACATAAGACATTCAAAACCCAACAAGCCTGCTATCCCAGCTAACCCAACCTGGTTAGCCCCCTAAAAACTCTGATACCCCATTTTAAAATACAATATACTCCCATACAGACTCCTTACAATGCGTTTAAAACCAAAATCGCATTTGGGTAGTAACTGTTTCTCAAGCGGCTAGTCCTAGTCTTTATAATCCTGTACCTTCTTCCAGAAGGCAGACGCTGAAAGAGATCATTTCCGGGGTGAGCCCTATCCTGAACTATCTCTGCAGCTTTCTTATGGCACCTGGAAGCGTAGATTTGATCCAAGGTGGGAAGAGTGCACATATTTCCATACCCGAATCAAAAATAATAAATTATTATCACAAGTTTCCAAGTAACACAATTGGGTTTATATTATCCTGCACCTTATTATTCCAAAACATTATTAAAAAATTCTCAATAAAGGCATTGTCTTGATGTCTGCCCTCTCAGCTTCTTGCCATATACCGTATTTTTCGCTCTATAAGACGCACCACACCATAAGAGGCACCTAGTTTTTGGAGGAGGAAAACAAGAAAAAAAATATTCTGATTGTCAGAAGCCAGAACAACAAGAGGGATCGCTGCGCAGTGAAAGCAGTGGTCCCTCTTGCTGTTCTGGCTTCTGGGATAGATGAGCAGCCTGCATTCGCTCCATAAGACGCACACACATTTCCCCTTACTTTTTAGGAAGGAAAAAGTGAGTCTTATAGAGCAAAAAATACAGTACGTAAGTTTAACCTTGCATACCACGTCCCAGATTTCAGTGCTCTATTCTCACATTTTCAAAATATTTAGTGGGGCCTCTGCTCTCCAGAGCCCCTGCATAGTGCTGCTTCACTGACTCCTCATCTCAGCCTCTTGTTCAGTAGGGACTTGTGGGTGCTGGAGAAGGCAGGCAGGCAGGCAGGCCGACCCCAAGGAGAGGGGGGCAGCTTCTGGTGCTCCTCTGAGCCCTGGCCCCACGGCATTGGGAGATTTGGAGCTTTGCATGAGGGGCTCTTTTCATGGATGTTTGGGCAACTTGCACGCCATTTTGGGGGGCTCCTTTCACGTGTGTTTGGAGAAGCTTTTAGTCAAACAGAAGCGAGGTGGGCTGGCGCAAGGGTCGCGACCTCCTCTTTAGGGCTTACTTAGTTTAATGTGCTCGAGCCCACATTCTCGAAGCCTAGTTTCCCAGGGAGACTCCCAACCTGTGGCTTCCCTTTGTCCTGAATGTGGACGTCCTCCCGCCTGCCCGCCCGCCTGCCTCCCCCAGTGCTAGTCCTTACTACTATTATCCCAGCCCCCCAGCACCCCCCCCCAGTGCATTCTTCGGATTTTGTCCCAACTCCATCGGAGTCTTGATGGCCTTTTAAAAGCTCGCTGCCCTTTGTGAAGACAATGTTGCCATGTGCTGTGCCTTTGACATTCGAGAGCTGGGCGCTTCCTCCGCGCCCGAACGGAACAGGCGCCCTTTGCCCTCTCCTTTACACTCTTCCCACACCTGCCTTTTTTCCAGAGTGCCCTCTGGTCTGGCCAACACTTCCTCCTCTGCTGGCCACTCTGCCCCCGGGGCCAAAGCCATTAACCACCCAGGCTCCCCGCCTTCCCTTAAACAGCCACCTTGTCCTTCGGTGGGGGTGGGGGTGCTGTCCCTTTCAGCCCCCGCAGCCTGGCGAGAGGCAGCCTCCACCTCACTCCATCGCCGTGGCCTTTGGCGGCCCCCTCGCTGAATCACTTGACCCTTCCTTGTGGTCAGCCTGTCCGTGCCCAGCAGACCGCGAGATGCGAGTCCCCTCTCTCTGTGGGCCGCTCGCGGGCTCCTGACCTGCGCTGACACCACTCAATGGCCTGCGTGGGAGAAGAAGCGCCCGCCTCGCAAGGCACTTTTCAGGCTTCATTCAGCCCATTCCATACCCGATCGATTCTTGGGTTTTGTGTTCCTTTTATTGGCCCAAAAAGGAGCCCAAAGCAAGCAGCACGCGCAGGTTGGTGGGGGCTTAATAATGCACGCTGCCTTTTGAAAACGGTCGCTGCATATTATTATGGGGCTTAAAACTTTCCTCCACCTTCTTGCTCTGGGGCATTTCGCAGCCAGAGAGCAGCAATCCTTGGTGATGGAAGGTGGAGGAAGAGGAGGAGGGTAGCGTGCCCTGGTTCTATAGGGCCGAGTCCTTCCGCTTCTTCTGTGGCAATGTCCCTGTCCCTTGATGGAATGAATGGGGCAGCCAAAATTAGCAAAGGGGTGGAGCAACTCCCCAGTGAAGAAAGGTTACAGCATTTGATTTGGAACTTTTTCACTGAGAGAAAAGGCGAATAAGAGGGGTCGTGATAGAAATTTATAAAATTATGTGTGGCATGGCGAGAACAGATAGAGAAAAGTTTTTGTCCCTCTCTCCTAACATGAGAGAACTTGTGAACATCTAATGAAGCTGAATGTTTCATTCAGGCCTCTTAGCAGCATATTTCCATGAATGGAAAATACCAGCGCCCTTGTCTCACCCCTGCCATTTGTGCAGGGCAAAAGGCAGCAAGGACCGTTGTATGTAGGCTCTTGCCCCAGCGCAGCGCTCGTCTCCGTCATTCGCATAGCAAAAGACTGTGGTCTGGTCCAGTGATGTAGGTTGGGATGATTGCAATGTTGGTGTCTCATCAAACAGAGCTATGGAGAGGTCAGGTGTGGGCACAGAAGGGAATGTGATGGAAGCAGCCCAGAGGACTCCTTAACAGGAGCACTGACAACCCCCTTTGCATTTGCAACTTATGAGTGCAAATGCAGAACTTACAAGGTTGTTCATTTCCAGTCTCCACTTCCAAACAGACCCCACGATTTTGGTTCGGAAGAGGATGTCGCGCTTGTCCCAGTGCAGTTGCCACTCTTTCTCCCACGTTGTGGGTTTGCCCTTAAAACAGAGGAGCATCTGCCAAGGTCCTCTCCACCCACCCAGTCCCTGCTTCTCTGTGCCTAGATCTCTCTCTCCCTTTCTCTCTCTCATCCTGCTCATATTTACAAGAGAATGTGATAAATTCCGTATTGATTCCTTCTGTTGCACTGTAAATTTTGCAAAAGATGATTAAATAGTGCAATAGAGTCTGCCAGCGCCAGGGCTCAATATGTTGTGGGCCGGCGGTATCGACCCCCCATATCTGAAGGCAGCGAGCTCCAACCCCAGCAGCCCCAGACCAGTAATTAAACTCCGGCGAGACCGGGATGTAAAAGCCAATCTTGTCACGGCGTCGAGGGCTCCAGCGTCCCGACACGGGGAGCGCAATAAGCGCCTGACCAGCAGCAGGTTTATGTCTGTGTCGAAGCTTTTAAGAATAGTTTCCCCACAGGGTGGGGAGCAAATGGAGCCCTCGGAAGTCTTTCTGGGCACAGAGGTTTTCGCACTGACACGACCATTTGTAAGACATTTAATAGCGCCATATAAAGGGAACGGGGCGGGGAAATGTGTGTGTGTGTGTGTGTGTGATAGGAGACAGACGTCACTGACTCTTTTGCACTTATTTTTTCCTTGCTGCACACACGGGGCCAAGAAGGTTCACACATTCGTGGCAGCATAGGAGAGGAGGAACCGTACCGCTGTTAAGTGGGGAGTGGGGTCCGCATGTCTGAATTCCCCCTCAAAGAAAGAAGTCGGTGGCCCTGGAAAGTTAGGAGGAGGCTCAAGCCCTAATTCTCCATAACACACCGACTTCCCATGTGCCAGGCTATTTTTGACATTAGAGAGCAACAAGAATGTAAGAAGATCCTGGTGAATCAGGCCAAGTGGATCTTCTCTACAACATTTGACAGAAGGAGAAGTTATCCATTCATGTTTGGGTATCAGGCATCCTGTTCTCACAGTGGCCGACCAGATGCTTGCAGGAAAGCTGCAAGCAGGAGTCTAACACAAGAGCGCACCCACTTCCTGTGGCTTCTAGCAGCTGGTATTCAGAAACATCCCTCCAACTGTGGAGGCAGAGTAATAGCCTTCAATTGCCCTCTTCTTCATGAATTTGTCTACTTCTCTCTTGAAGCCATCCAGGTGGGTGGCCATCACTGCCTCCTGTGGCAGGGAGTTCCGTAGTTTAACTATGTGCTGCATTAATAAGTCCTTTCTTTTATCTGTCCTGAATCTTCCAACATCCAGCTTCCTTGGATCTCCACAAGCTCCAGTGCTAGAAGAGAGGGGGGAAACATTCCTCTGTCCAGTTTATTTCTTTAATTGATAACTCAAGAGCATATGAGCAGTCCGGCTGGATCAGGCCAAAGGCCCTTCTAGTCCAGCCTCCTGTTCTTACAGTGGCCAACCAGATGCCGCAGTGGTAAAACCGCAAGCAGGATTCGAGCACGGGAGCATTCTCTGGCAAATGGTATTCAGAAGCATTGCTGTCTCGAACTGCAGAGGCAAAGCAGAGCCCTTATGGCCAGTAGCCATTGATAGCCTCAGGGGACTAGTGTAGTCCAGCACCTTGTTCTCCTAGCGGCCAGCCAGCTCATACAGTCTGTTCCGCTTCTGGCCATTTAAAAACCAGCTCAGATGAAGAAATCACACAGTACATCCAGAAAACTTTCAGATTCAAGCTTATATGAGGATCTAATGGGAGGGACTTTTACAATTTTTGGCCGCTTTTGAAAACCCTCTCTGAGTGCACTCCTGGTGTGGATAATGTGTTGCAGTGATGCTCCAGCAGAGAGAGTCTTCTTTGCTCACTGGCCTCCCTTAAACAGCAAGGTAGCATAAGTGAAGTGCTTTGAGCATAAGAACCTAAGAAGAGCCTGCTGGATCAGGCCAGTGGCCCATCAGCATCCTGTTCTCACAGTGGATGGTCAGGTGCCGTAGTGAGAAACCCACAAGCAGGATTGAGCACAAGAGCAACTCTCCTTTCCTGCAGCATGAATTTGCCCAGTCCTCTTTTAAAGCCATCTGGCTTAGTGGCGACCCCTGCCTCCTTGCAAAGGCAAGTTCTGTAGTTTAACTACGCAGTATGTGAAGAAGTCCCTTTCTTTTATCTGTCCCGAATCTTCCAACATTCAGCTTCGTGAGATGTCCCCGAGTTCTAGAGCAATTCTGTGGTGCTATGTAGATAATGGTTGCTGTTATGGAAAGATTCCCTGAGATCTGTGACTTGTTGCACCTTGGCTTCAGAATGTAAAAGAGCCAGCACAAGGGTGTGGGCCCAGAAGAGGAGACCTCGGCCCTTTTGAAGGCGGCTTGAGGGTGCCCAGCACCCCAGGTGTCCCGCCCTTCTGAGCTCAGTTGTATAAATATTCCAGGAAGTGGCTTTCACCTGTCATGCCCAGCAAAGTGACAGGTGACACTTTGTCGTCGGTGGAGGTGATTAGAACCATGAGCTGTTGGCAGAGAGAGCTGGATTTATTGTGGCTGGCGCAGAGCTGCTGCTATCTCCGTTTTTAAAAAGCTACCTGTGAAGTATCTGTGCCGCCCCATATCAGAAGCACGTTTATTTTACTGGAAAAAGGGTGATCATGTTAATTCAATCACGGTGAGGCTCAGGAGGACAGGAGTCTCTTTCTATTACTTTAACTAGCCATGTAGAGCAATAAGGATGTCAGGGCTTGTCAGAGATGATGGCTGATGACACGGCGTCATCCCTTGTACGGCTGTGAAGGCGGCTTCCTCCTGGCAAAGGCTGGACTGGCTGTTTTGGGGCTTGAAGTCAGTCCTGCTGACAGTAGGTGACATTTCATGCACTCACAGACTTCCGAAGTCCCACTGTGACTTCCATAGAAGAAACCTTGCAGCCAGTTTATTCCTTGTAGCTGATGAATATAGTTGCTGCTTTGGATATCTCTCTCGCATAGCAATTTTTTTATTTCTCTGCTTTGGATATCTCACTAGTACTGCAATGAAAATGATGGCGAGAGGCTACTCGGGTCGATGGAATAAAGCAACATTAGTGTGGAGACCCTACGGCTTTAAAGGACCAAGGGGGCAACCACTTATGTGGCGGGTGGACGATCTAAAACTAACAGCTGGTCTTATGTGGGTACAGACCAGAAAGCAATTGAGGGAACTTGGAAGAGATGTATATCCCCTGTAAAGAGAGAGGAAAGGGAGCAATTTTATCATGGAAGGGAAGTGCAACACAGTTCTTTCTAGAATCACAGAGATGGGGTGCTGCAGGCAGCCATCTCGTCCCACCCCGACTGCTGCAAGTGGGAGGTTGCGCGCCCCGCAGAGCTCCACAGATGCAGGGGCACTGCTTTGAGTCAACAGGGGCTGTTGTGCATAGAGCCATAAGTCCAGATGATGCAAACAGGGTGAAACAAAGTGACATTCTGCAGGGATCAGCAATCATACGAGAGCTGGTCTGACCCGGAAGACACTTCCTTCTTTACCCCAGTATTTGACAGTGTTTAAGGCAGTGGGTGCTGGAGGAGACTCTTGAGAGTCCCGTGGACTGCAAGTAGATCAAACCGATCCATTCTGAAGGAAATCAGCCCTGAGTGCTCACTGGAAGGACAGATCCTGAAGCTGAGGCTCCAGTACTTTGGCCACCTCATGAGAAGAGAAGACTCCCTGGAAAAGACCCTGATGTTGGGAAAGATGGAGGGCCCAAGGAGAAGGGGACGACAGAGGACGAGATGGTGGGACAGTGTTCTCGAAGCTACCAGCATGAGTTTGACCAAACTGCGGGAGGCAGTGGAAGACAGGAATGCCTGCCATGCTCTGGTCCAGGGGGTCACAAAGAGGCGGACACGACTAAACGACTAAACAACAAGGCAATGGGTGTATACAAAGCCCCTCCCATCAAACCATGCCACATTTTTGCTATGGAGCAGGACCCCATGCCAAGTGGCACACGGCATCCTCCTCTTCATCCCTCTTGATGACTTTAAAAGAGGATTAGACAAATTCATATTGCTGGCTGCTATCCATGATGTCTCCACAGTTGGAGGTAATGATGTATTCAAATACCAGTTGCTGGAAACCACGGGAAAGGAGAGAAGAGGATGCTGGACTGGGTGGTCCAGAAGGCTCTGCTTATGGAAGGAGGGAAGGAGCCAGACTCTGAGAGCTGCCTGTTGCTGTATTTTTTATGTAAACAAGAGTACCTTATTGTGAAATTTGTTGTCATTATATTAATTATTAACAATTGCAATGCCTTTCTGCACTACGGCAGCCAACAGCAAAATTATCAAGTACAAAATCAATACAAATACGACAAGCAACGAAGGCCAGGAGGAATTAGAACAGCAGGTTGCAAATGGGAGCAGCTATAAACAAAAATGCCACTTTAACAAGCGGCTGCCAACAAACCTAAGAACCAGACTCCCTTTTCGAACATGCCCCCCCCAACCCTCCGCCACAGTGCGCAGAGATGGGTTTTGAAAGGGATCAGACAGAAACCCAAGGAGGATCGGATCTAGCCATGGGTGGGTCTGTGGGGCTTCCATGTTCAGAGGCAGTATACCTGTGAGTAGCAGGCAAACCAACTTGGCAGGGGGTGCTGAGGAGTCTTGCCTTTGTGGTGGCCTGTTTCCCAGATGCTTCCAGCTGGCCACTGCCTGGGACCGAGGCTGCTGGACTTGCTGGACCTTTGGGCTGACACCTTCTCTCACATTTGTATGCTGCCTCCTAAGACAGATTGGCACTCCTCCTGCCGCCCCTCCCAACTTTGTATAGGGGATTTGACAAAGTAGCATCCCAGCTGCAACCCCCCTGCCCCCCCAGTCAGTCTCTCTCTCTCTTTTGCACATTTTCCTCAAACCCCCCCCCCCTTGCCCTGCAGTTATTAACAAGCCAAAGCCATCCGGCAGAGCCGCATACATCCATAATCTCTTCCCTCAGCCCTCCGTATTGACAGTTATCTGGAATCTGAAGGAATTCAAGACAAATGATTAAGAGGATGGAGTTAATAAAATTTGAAAAATTGAGACCTGTCAGTCCGCTAAACTTTTTTCAATACCACCGACAGGAACATATTTCCCCAATGAGTGACCTTCTGCAGCTGCTCGGGTCCTGCGCTGCTGGGGTGGCGTTGGGAGCGAGCCGGCCTGCTATTTATCAAATATTATAAGCCGGGGCCTACTAATAATATGAGCCGAGCTGGGGAGGGCAAAGGCAGGCAGGCAGGCAGGCAGGCAGGAGGAGCCTGGGGCGTTGCCCAGGTGTTGGTTCTCTGCCAGAGACAGCGAGTGGGAGGTGACAAATTGCATCCCATAACGGCTCAGGGAGGTTGGTGCCCTCTCAGCAGGCGTGTGCCCTGTGGTGGCACGGAGCGCAGTCCCTGCTCCTTGGGGCCAGCTGCCCCGACTCTGCAGAGGGGCCGAGGTCAGGCCAGGGCTCTGGGGGGAAAGCCAGTGGCCACCCTCTGCGACGACAGCAATGATGGGTTAGCAAGTGTCTTGACACCCCAGTTATTTATTGAAGCATAATATTTTATTGCCGCCGGTACCGGAGGTGGCCATCGACCGCTTGTGTGAGCCTGGTTCTATCAATTATTGCAGCAATTAGTCAAGTCGTCAAAGCCATTAACAGGGGGATTAGGCCAATATTGGTTAGCCATTATTAATAGATCAACGGGAGGAAATTTAGGGTCTTCCAGAAGGAAGGCAGAGCTGGCCTGGAGGGAGGGGCCCGAGGAAACTTCCTCCTCCTCTTCCAGAAGAGAGCAAAACTGTTGTGTAAGAGAAAGAATTGTGCGTTAGATGCAGGTCACTGTCTCTTTAAAAGATATTGAGTGCCCAGGGCAGGCCGTATATAATCTCACCTGTTCTGATCATACTTTTTATTGGGCGCGGCAAGGCTCGCAACAGAAATTACTCTGCGTTGGATGTTTATGGAGCACATTTTTCATTCTGCAAGCAAATATAGATCCCTTTATGCCAGATGTTGGAAATAGCTAATCTCCCTCTCCAAGGTTCGTAGCAGCAGATCAGCCAGTGCCAACAACGCTGTGACAAGGCGACAAGCAGAACGCTGCTCCCGTGGTTTGGAAATTGCACTGCAGGCACCAGGATTCTCCCGCGGACCTGCCTGTTGCTGCTCTCAAAGCCCATTTGGGTGGTGTGCGCATAGGCAGCTGCCTTAAAGCAGCTCAGAACCTTAGTCCACTGAGGCTGGCATGGTCTTTTCAGACTGGAGGTCTCTAGCTGAGAGAAGCCCCCCTGCCATCTCTCTTGCTCAAGATCCTTTTAGCTAGAGGTTGAACTTCTGACTGCTTGATTCTGAACCTGGGACTTGGTGAGCAGAGCAATCTCTCAGCCACTGAGTACAATTCCCACTCATTCCGGGGTCTTAGTGGACACCATCTCTAAGGAAGAGTTATTTCCCCTTCCCTGCAGCCAGTAACGTGCTCTCTTACACAAACAATTGTTATCCGAGGCCCCTCTTCACGTTCCCCTTCCATGGGCGGTCCAGAGGGTGGAGACAAAAGAACGTGCCTTTTTGGTGGTGGCTCCCTGCTTCTGCTGTCTGGGGTGCCTCGCCTGCCTAGCAGCAGGCAAAAACATTGCATTTTAACCAGGCCTTTGGCTCTTTACTATAGCCTTTTAGAGTGCTTTTATGTGATCTTTTTCTTTGTAAGTTGCTTTGAGTTACTGTGGCAAAAAAGCAACTAATAAATAACAGTAATAGTAAGGCTCTTTAAAGGAAAAGTGATCCACCCACGATGAGCCATGAGTGAAAAGGTACAGAGGTGAGAGATTGCACAAGGGCCCTGAACAGAGAGAGTAAAGAGTGGCTAAGGGACACAGCCGCTTTCACCCCTCCTCTTCCTGCCATCTTTCATTGTCATGTTGGATATTAGCAGCCCACAGCAGGGCAGTGTCCCACAGCAGAGGCCATGAAGCAAGAGCACCACGCTGAACTGCGGCCACTCCAGCGGGGCTGTTGGAGTTCTGTCGGCCCTTGGCAGGAGAGTGGACAGCTTGCTTCTCCAATGGGGTGTTACGTTTGCCCTGAGTTCTGCAGCTTCCTTTCGCCTAGGCCTCTTGTTCCTGGTGACACATCCCTTTTGCTGTGTCCTTTGACATCCATACGTGTTGCCGCTGGTGGCACATTGTCCCTTTTCTGATTGGAGCAAAGGTTAAAGAGGACCCCGGATAGCTGAGAGGCTGTAAGCTGCCCGTCATCTGACTCCATCCCACATGTTGAGCTCTGTCTTTTCCCTTCCAGGTGCCAACCCCCTGCAGAGGAATGAAATGGGGCACACGGCCGTGGATTACGCACGGGAGGGGGAGGTCATGAAGCTCTTGAAAGCGTCCGCAACAAAGGTGAGGATTCAAAGACTTGGCTCTCATGGGTTTCTCCCTCCCTCCCTCCCTCCCTCCCTCCCTCCCTCCTTTTTAGTGCCAAAATCCAGGGGTGGCGTAGAAACTGCCCCAGGGTCTTGGCCTCAGAGAGAATGTTGCGAATTCGCTCTGTGCTCAGCCGGGGATCAAATCATATTGAGGGAATGGTTTTTGTTGTTAATAAATCCCACCAAAGCATTTCAGGTCACCTCCAATGTATGCCTGCCTTCCTGTTCCACCTTTTGGAGAGGTGGGCAGCAAATAAAGGGGTCCGTTGCCCTGCTGTGCCAATTTTCTGAAATTTGGTGGGTGGGGGTGGGTTCAGGGGCAGCTCAAGTAGATGCTGGGCCCGCGCATGCAATTTGAATGCGTCCATGGCTCATGGGACAAAGGTTCCGGGGTCCCACAATGCTGCTTTGGACACCGACAGCTCCCCTGTTGCTTCTGCAAGAGGCTGGATGTGAATGGGAAGGGTGGCAAACAGCCGTGCTTGGTGCCACCTTGCTGGCAGTGCGTCCTGTTGTGCTGCCCTCAGCAGAGAGATGGGGTAGAAAATAACTAAACTTCATTATGCCAACACTCCTCCTGTTGGCAAGTTCTACGGGTGAAGAGGGGAATAAACATAAGAAGAGCCTGCTGGATCAGGCAGTGGCCCCTTCTAGCCCATACCACAACCCACAAGCAGGATTTGAACACAAGAGCAACTCTCGCCTCCTGTGATTTCTAGCAACTGGGATTCAGAAGAATCTCTGCTTCCAACTGCGGAGACGGAACATAGCCATCCGTCATGGCTGGTAGCCATCAAGAGCCCTCCTCCATGTCTTTGTCTAGTGGTCTAGCTTGGTGGCCATCACTGCCTCCTGCTGCAGAGAGTCCCACAGTTTAAGTGCGACGTGAAGAAGGACTTCCTTCTATCTGAATCTTCCAACAAGAGGAGGGTCTTTGTGCCGTTGCATAAAGGAATGGCACTTGTCTCCATGCATCTCGGGGGGGCTTCAGAAGGACGAGGAATTGGATGGGTCACAGCAGTCCTGAGCCTGGTCTTCTGCAGCCCTCTGGAAAATGGGCCCCCAGACAGTAGCTTCCCTTTTATTCCCTCCTCTTCCTGTCCTCACCCTGCTACCAAGAGTCAGGCCCCTCTGTCGCTGTGCCCCATTCCCAGCCCAAATGTGTATGGGCAGGCTCTTGCTGTCACCTTCTTCTTCTTGGGCAATCCCTCGTAGCCAAGTAAGATTGTCTTCCATAAACACAAGTTTTAACCATGAGTCCATAAGTGACTGTGGAGGCCAATTCTGGATCCACACGTCCTTCCACAGTGCGGACGTAGGTTTCCGGGTGGGTGTTGATCACAGTGAGGGTTTGCCAAACGTGTCACCACAACCATAGGGGCTCTTTCACTTCCAGCAACGGTCACTCGCTCTGATGTTAATATGCTTTTGCACCGCAAAAGGCGGCAACTTCCAGGGCTAGGGAAGAGGAGCTTGTCCATGCGAGTTCTGCCAAGCGTGTGGCAACCCACCCCCTTGCAAGAGATGGATGCTGTTGGGAATGAGCTGTTGCTGGAGGGAAGCCCTTTGAAATTTTTATAAAGGAAATGTCAGGAGTTGCATGCTTAAATCTCAGCAAGGAGAAGGGAGAGAGAGAGAATCATGCTAACTTGAATGGGTCTCTGGAGCCTTCCTCCGTGAAGCAGAGCTGCCCTTTAACTAACTTTTTCTCCACAAAGCCTTTGGATGATGAGCGGGAGACGCACAGATCTGCGCAGAGATGGGTCTTGCTGAAGGAGATGGCAGCGGGTGCATAAAAATCTCGTGCTCTTTGGGGCTGCCTGGTGATGAATGTGCAGCTGAGGGGGATGTGGTGGCAGAGGGGTTGCCAGTCCTGCTTTCCATCCCCGCCGAGAGTCTTTGAGAATTTATTGCTCATTTTGATCACTGCTGCAGAATGAATTGGTGGCACCATTAACGGGACAGACACATCCCATCGATTTTATTTACATATGCTGGTGACAAGAGCAACAAGGAGTCTTCATATGCGAAATCAATTTGTTTTTAGGAAAAAGTCTCCTGATCCACATGGCCTGCTTCTCGTGAATCAGAGCCACCAGGTCAAGGCTGGAGTGGGCCAGCTAGCGGCTCGGTTGGCTGTTGGGCCTTCCTCCACCTTCTCTCCCAGTTTCCACCACCAGTTGGAAGCCGTTAGCAGGCCTGTCCTCGAAGGGCATGGGTGCTCACTGGGCGCACCCCACTGGCGCACTCCCCATCGCAAAAGTAGATTCCCAAATACTTTTGTGAAAAGGCCATTGCACCTTCCCTCCTAATCACCAAAGCCTCTTCTCTCTGCAAATCTTCCCGTAATTGGAGCTGTGACTGGGAGGGGTGCCAGGGTCTTTAATGAGCAATAAAAGGAAAAGAACACAATTACCTGGCTCTAAGAAGGATCCCGCTGTTGACATCTCAAGGTGAGGCCTCCTGGCAGAACTCATGGAGCATATCTCCAGTTGTAATACTTGGCCTGGCACTCTGGTAAACTCAGGAGTTTGATGGGACAGGTTGGTCCCACCTGTTGCACCGTGCAAGGAAGCTGTCTTATATCTGCTTCCATGGAAGGTTCAGGATGGAGAAAAGAGCTTCACACAGGGCACAATTAGACTATGAAACTCACTCCCACTGGGGAAGTGATGGCCACCAACTTGGATGCCTTTAAAAGAGCCTTAGACAGAATCATGGAGGAGGAGGAGAGGGCAACCTGTGGCTATTACCCATACTGGCTATTCTCTGCTTCTACAGCTGGAGGTAGCTTCTGAATGCTCGGATCCTGCTTGCAGGGGGCATTTGGTTGGCCACTGTGAGCAGGTGGCTGCTGCTCTAAATTTGTGGCTGCTTTGCAGTGGGTCTGTGTTATTCTTCTAATGTGTGTGTGTAAAATATGTACATGCATATAATATTTTTTACTTCAGACATTTTTACACCATATAGCTATATCTCTTTCTTACTCACATCTCTCAGCACGTACATGAAACAAGCCACATAAAATGAAACAATAAAACAATACAATTCTTTATCATAATACTGAACCCCTCCTCAAAATGCTTGCTGGAACAAGAACATCTTCGTCTTGCTGGAGTTCAGCAAAGAAGGTGCATTAGCGGAGTTTGTAACCTGAAGTGTTTGTAACCTGAGGCGTTTGTAACTCGAGGTACCACTGTAATAGCCCATGCCTATGCAAATTTACCTACAGGTGAGGCACACTGGAGCTTACACCCAGGTAAATGTGCATAGGATTGCAGCCAAAGTTGGGTGTTCTGGCTGCAACCGCAATGTCACATAGCAGTGAGTTCCACAGGTTGTTTGCGCATTTTGCAGAGACGCTCACCCTGGCTAGACTGTTGGTTTCAGCATCTAACTCTTGAGTCTCTGCATTTTGAGAAGAGTCCTGTTCCTAGAGGATGTAAATTAAACACAGACAAAAAAGAATCTCACTTCAGCAGGCAGATGGAAAAGAAAGGCAGTTTCCTTGCTGAGGCAGCCCTTTCTGGGGTTTTGCCCACTCTTGAGCTTTTGTGTAGCTCTCCCTCCCTTCCCCCTGCCTTTCCTCCAGCCCGTCAGTCACATCCGATAACATATATATTATGGCAGAGCTGCTGTTATGCATTATTTTCTTTTCAAAATGTAAAGAAAGAAAAGGCAGGAGGAAAAAAATTGGCCTATATATTTGGAAAGACATAGATGTATAGATGGGGCCGGAGTAGTTTGAGGCTGGTGATATATACGGAGCCTGAGGGAGCGACACCATTGGCACTCTGGATTCAATCCAGCAAGTGCCGTCCCACTGGGATCCGCAAGGAAGTTATTGCTCCATTTTGAAGCATCAGGACTGATGGGGTGTCTCGGTTACAGGGTAGACAGATAACAGCAGCCAAAATTGGATTGGTTGCTATTTATTTTTTTTAACTTCTGTCAAGGTCACTACCGTAACAGGAAAACACCAGAAAAGCCGGCCAGCGGATTGCGCTGCCGGTTTCTCAAGTGGCGGCTTCTGCTGCTGCTTTTGCGACAAGAGCCGGTGTGGGCTGTGCTGCTGAGTAGGGGGATCAGGCCACGGAGGGTGGTCCAGCTGGTCCAGCGTTCTCTCCCCACCCACCCACAATGGCCAGCGTGACAGTGACAGCCCTCTGCTGTTGCTTCTCCTCAGCACCTTTTCTTAGAATCCAAGAATCGTTGAGTTGGAAGGGACCCCAAAGGCCATCTAGTCCAACCCCCCTGCAATGCAGGAATCGTGGCAGATTCTTCCAATGGCCCTCGAGGTTTTCAGACCTACACCCTTGTGCAAATTAATTGAAACAAAGCCTGTTTTCTATCTTATTCGTAATCCTGTAATCAAAACAAACACGAAAAGTCATTATGGTGTCGGAAGCCTGCAGCCAATAGAAGGAATGACGCGTTTGCCACAATATATTGAGGTTTTACGAAAGAGAGTTATTCCAGAGCTGGAAAAGAGGTATCCTGACAGTACTGGGATATTGCAGCAGGACGTAGACCCCCCGTCACACATCGAAAGTTGTGAAGAAGTTCATGTCAGAACAGCCAATACAGGCATTTGATTGACCAGGGAATTCCCTGGACGTAAATCCCATTGAGAATTCGTGGGCTATATGCAAAAGTCCTCTCGGTGCTGTAGACGGTACGACTATGGAGAAGCTTATTCAGGCGCCGATTCAGGTGTGGTACAGGGATCCGAAAATCAACAGTGAGTGTTCGAAACTATTAAACTCCATACCAAACCGTGTTCAAATGCTGCTTAAAAGTAACAGAGGTCATATCAGTTACTAGTGAGTTTTGCATATGTATATGTGAGTTTTGTACAATAAACTACATTGTTTGTTTCAATTAATTTGCACAAGGGTGTAGGGCCCATCTTTAATTGAAGCATGCACTTGGGGACCCACTTCTTTATTTTATTTTTAACCACATACATGTATCTTGGATCGGTCGCCTCTCACCCTCCAGCTGAAGGCAAATGCTTTATTTTGAGAAATGCCACTTCATTTCCCATGCATCTGAAACTGAGGAGCCTTCCCTTCCCCCTTCCATAAATCTCAAGAGAGAGAGCATGGCCAACCAGTTTGGGTAAAGGTAAAGGGACCCCTGACCATTAGGTCCAGTCGCGGACGACTCTGGGGTTGTGGCGCTCATCTCGCTTTAGTGGCCGAGGGAGCCGGCGTACAGCTTCCGGGTCCTGTGGTCAGCATGACTAAGCCGCTTCTGGTGAACCAGAGCAGCACACGGAAACGCCGTTTACCTTCCTGCCAGAGCGGTACCTATTTATCTACTTGCACTTTGACGTGCTTTTGAACTGCTAGGTTGGCAGGAGCAGGGACCGAGCAACGGGAGCTCACCCTGTCGCGGGGATTCGAACCGCCGACCTTCTGATCGGCAAGCCCTAGGCTCTGTAGTTTAACCCACAACGTATAGTGGGCTAAATCTCTTAATTTGAGGATCATCAATGCAAGGCTGTGTAGTAGGGAAAGGTCAACTTACTCCCTTACTCACCTGCTTCTTCCCAGTGCCCCCCCATAAGAGCCAGTGTACCCCTAGGTCTCTCTGGCACATAGAGAAGCTGCTCTAGAAGAGAGGTCCCCGGTTCCCTTCTCTTGCGTGCTGGTTTTTAACCCCAGAACCCAGTGATGGCACCAGGTTGGATAGCTTTAAAAGTAAGAGCTGTTTGACAGTGGAATGGACTCCCATGGAAAGTAGTGGATTCTCCTTCCTTGGAGAAGCAGAGTTTGGATGGCCATCTGTCATGGACGCACGTAGGGTAGGGTATTTTCAGCCACCCCAGGCTTTCTCTGTCTCTTTCTTCCTTCCCCTCCCTCCTGGTTTTCTGCTGCACTTTGAAATGCCCCCTCTTTTTGGGAGGGTCTGCGGTGATTAAGCTTTTTTTAATTAAGTTTCCACTGGTTCATTTTTGTGACCTTTCTCCGCCTCCATGGATGCAATTCTGATTATTTTCCTTGCATATTCATTTTACATGTGCGTCTGACTCATGTTTGCTAAAAGCATTGGACGTTTGGTGGGCTATAAATGTCTTAACATGGATAAACACGTTCTTCCTATACCCACTAACCTCACAGCAGGTGATAGAGAAGCTTGTCACATGGACATCCTTACAGCATGGATGTTGGGGTATCTTTTTAAAAGAGCACCTTCTTTTCCTTTCCGCAGTTCCAGGAAGAGCAGCGCAAGAGGGAAATAGAGGAACGGCGAAGGTTCCCGCTGGAGCAGAGACTCCGGGAACATATCATTGGCCAGGAGAGCGCCATAGCAACTGTTGGAGCTGGTAAGATCTGGGGCTCTGATTTGATTAGCCTTCTGCTCTGCAAATCCTGCAGAGAATCTGGAAGGGGGTTAGTTAATGTGTGTGCACCCACACGTGTGTGTCACATAAATGTTATGCCATAATTTTATTTAGAACGTGTGTGTGCACAAAACAGTCAAGAATACCTTAAGCTGCAAAGCCGAGAATTCCAGCTTTTAAAAACTTTTTTTCTTGTTTGTGGAGAGTCGCTTTTTTAATTGCTGGGTTTTTGGGTTGTTTTTTTTCTTTGCCTAAGATATGAAATCCAGGAAAATACAAGGAATTTTGTCACCAGTGAAGGTCTGGGCACCATTGTGTGTTGCAGCTGCCTACAGCTCTAGCACATAACCCTGCAGTTTGGCATCTGGCACAGAATTCTGACTCCTGAAAATGTCAGAATTCGTATCTGGAAAGAAAAATGCATTTTAGTTCCTAGGATTGCAGGAATAAGCATGGGAAGTATGTTCTTCATGAAATCATAGATGCCATGGGAAGGACACAGAACCGGGGATTTCCGTTCCCTTGGTCTGCAACAGTGGACCAGATGAGAGGAATGAAACGAAAGATGGAGCCATAGCATGGTGGTGGCCATGATCCTTTGGCCAAAAGGCTGGGGGCGATAAGAGTTGGAATCCAGATCCTCCTTAGCATCCTCAACATCCTCTCAAACGGAACCATTTTTTCATATGATCTCTTAGCCACACTGAACAGAGCAGTATTACTACTGCGCTGCTTGTATTAGGAAAGGAAGCTCCTCTTATTGCAGTGTATAATTGCTTCAGCCTTTCTTGCCATAGCATTACTTGGTTGGCTTTTATTCCAGATTGGGGGTTCTTTTTAGCAATATACACATTGCAACCTATTATTATTATTATTATTATTATTATTATTATTATTAGTACCCCGCCCATCTGGTTGGGTTTCCACTCTGGGCGGTTAAAATCTTTCTCTGTGCATCCCACTCTGCTGGTGAGAGCAGGGTATGCATTGTGAGCAGTGCTTTTTTTCCCTGGAAAAACAGGCGCTGGTACACACCATGAAGTTATTGCGTTAAGCGCTACACTTTTTAACAACAGAAAGAGGTGCCGGTACTGCATACCCTTGAGTACCCCTGGGGGAGGCACTGGTTGTGAGAGACAGGATTGTACGCTGTGTGTTTTAGTGGTACCTTGAGAAAGCAAAGAGATAACATTTTTCCTCCCTGACCTGCTAGTTTTCTGTGTGCAGGCTTCCTTCTGTTCTGCTTTGTCGCAGGGGGGAGTGTTCAGTCACGTGAACCTCCCGCTTCCAGGCAGAAGGGGTACAGGGCACACCCAAATTGGCCACTTTATTCACAGCTAGGCTTTGTCAGTTTTGCAATCCATTACAAAGTTTCTCATGGGTCACCTTCCATGAAAGAAGAACTTTTATCTCTGGATTGGCCTTCAGAGTCAAATGTGGGGTGGATTCCGAGTGTCTGCTCAGCGCATGCCCATCCTTGGGACCCAGAGGGTGCTGCTTTCCCAGATAAAGTCACTCTATGTCCCGGAGCCTGTCACAGGAGACAGGTCCCTCCTCCAAAACAGAGAGATCTTTGGAACTTGGGACTGCACTGGGAGGCAGAAACAATGCGAACGACTTCAGGGCCTCGGAAAGTATCTCTCTGCCCTTCTCCCGGAGTCCATTGTGTAGTAAATAAAGAATATTAAAACTCTTTGTCAACCTCCTGTTACTGAAATCTCCCCCTGTTGCGTTCGCGAGACCATTAACGGCGATAAATGGAAGGAAGGGGATGTGGGCTGTTGAAGCCTCTTTTTATCTTTTAACTGTGGCCAAAGGCCAGGCTGAGGAGCCCCCAGAAGGCAGAAACTGATCCTAAGCATGTCCTAATGGGCAGTCCTGCCCCTGCCTGAGTCAGGGATGGTTCACACAACCTACTCCCTGGCGGGAACCATCCTCATAGCTCTGCAGAGAGCCCAGCAAAGGCCTCTTTTGGCCTGTTAATATGAGTCATGAAAGACTGGAGGAGGGAAGTTGAGTACAAGTCCGGCTGGCCTTCTCATCACCTGAAATCCCAGCTCCCAGAATCTGCAGCCCTCCAGAGGTTTTGGACTACAACTCCCTGTTGTAGCAGATCGGGGAAAGCTGAGTTTAATGTAGAACAGAGTGAGCTACATTGACATGTCACCTGGCTTTGGACTCTTGTCTTGGATGAAATAATAGTAGCTATTCAACATCCCTTCCAGTTTAATGATTTGGAGGGTTGGTGGGGGGGAGGCAAGTGGGACAGTGCCTGCGAAACCACTGAAGCTTGATAGAGCCTAAGCAAAGCCCTTCTTGGTGGAGGATCTATATTCTCTGTCGCTGTTTACACTGCCTCACGGCTGGGATGAGAAAAATGAAATCGGGGGGATGAATATTGATGTGCAGATTTGATAAATTTGAATAATTTGTAATGATCGTATCCTTCATGTTTTCAGTGCATGAGCCTTCCTGGGCACTGCACAAAGATCCAATCAAAGGCCTTGTGCCTTCAGGCAAAAATAGTGCAGAAAGTGGCATTTTTCTGGTTGCAGAATTTGCGTTTGGGGGCAGGAGACGGTGGGACGCTTATGACTCTGGTCATCAAAGCAATTGGTGACTCGTCATTTGGTTAGGGATTCTGCCTCGCTTGCAGGCAGTGGAGGAGACACCTGAATGGAGCACATGGGACACGGCTGAGCAATAGCTGAGACCCCATGAAAAGTGGGCAAGGCCCCTCAGGTCCCTTCCCACCTTTGCTCTGCTGCTGCCTCCAGCTTTTTAAGCATCTTTCTGCAAGCATGAGTTCTAGGGACATAAGAAAGAGCTTGGTTTCTCTAGAATCTGACGGGCCTGGGTGGCCCAGAGCTGTGCTGTAAATAAAGATCGCGGGACGTAGTTTGGGCCTTGGGTTTGGGAGGGCGAGGCTCTCCCCTGCAAAGGCACCACATGTGCACCCTGGTTAGAGAAAGGCTGTGCCTGGAGGCAGCAGCGGGGGCTAATTAGGGAGCTTTGATTAATGGGCAGGGCCTTTCTCTGACACAGGTGGTGGTGGGGCTGGCGAGAGCAGCTGCCTTCATGGAACTTCCCTTTATTGAATTAGGCAGGACCAGGCGCACTCTGCCTCGGGATATCGCGCCAGGAAGGGGAGGCTTGCTGGTGCTTTTGCTGCCGCCTGCCCCGATGGTCCCAACCTGTTAAGCTTTGACGTGGGTGGGTGGGCGGGAGGGGGCGTTCTTGACACACATACCCAGTTACTCTGAGTAGCCCTTGCCCATCTTTCAAGAGGGACTGCCAAACGCAGGGCACACTTGGCATACCTCCTGACTGCAAAGCGACTGCTGTGCTCCTGGTCTAAATGCTGCAGCAATGTGCCCCCCACCCCATGCCAGTGCACGTTGGTGTGGGGAGAGGAGTGTCAGGAAGCAACCCTTAATTCTGCTGCTAGCTTGCTAGCTCCTCATGCTCCATCCCACGACACGGGATGGTTGACAGTTGTCAAGCAAGCATTTAGGGTCATACCTGGCGCCTGCTTTCTTGCTTCAGTGGGCTCACTGGGACCCAGTTTGAGGAGCCCAATCTGAGGCTCACAGCTTACATTCAGTCTGTTCTCTTCTAGCCTGTTGTCTCGTTTCTTCTGCCCAATGTGGTTTCCCAGGGCATCAACTTTGTTGGCAGAGAGAGAAAGTGCATTCAGGTTTTGGAGGGAGCAAGAGTTGACTGCATGCAACAACAAGAGGATGTTTCCAAGGGATGCCCCAGAATATGAGAACATAACAAGAGCCTGCTAGGTCAAGCCAATGCCCCCTCTGGTCCAGCATCCTGTTCTCACAGTGACCAACCAGATGCCTCCATGTGAAACAGGACCCGAGCATGAGAGCAACTCTCCCCTCCATCAGTCTCTAGCAGCTTGTGTTCAGAAGCATTGCTGCCTCCAACTGTGGAGGCAGAGCAAAACCATCATGGCTAAGTAGCCTTTGACAGCCTTATCCTGCTCCTTAAATCTGCTTAATCCTCTTTCTTAAGCCATCCAAGTTGGTGGCCATCACTTCTTCCTGTGGGAGCAAGTTCCATAGTGGAAAAGGATGAAGACGAATGGTCAAGAGTGGATGCAGACATGCATAAATGAGCGGCCATTTGCATAGCTGTACTGTGTTGCTTTCCCCCTTATTTGGTGGGCGTTTTGCTTGTAGTAGGAGCTTGTAGTTGTCTACACTGACTGGCAGCAGCTGTCTTCAGTTTCAGACCAGGAGTCTTTCTCAGCCCTGCCTAGAGCCTGCCAGGTGTTCTTCCCATTGACTTTTGGCCCTTCCTGTAGAGCAGCACGTGGCTTAAAGTTTAGCACACTTTTCTTGGTGCAGAGTGGTAGTGGGCTGGTGGCAGGAATCTGGCCCTGTTTCTGCCTTGACCCCTTTGGCCACCACCTTCCTGCCCAGGCGACCCACGTCTGCTCATCGAACTGAGCCACCGCAGCAGTGGGGGAAGCCAAGCAGGGTCCCTTGAATGCCAGTCCCTTGCCTTGCAAGGGCAAAGTTGGTCTTTGGTTCATGCCCGAAGGACGTCGCCCCTTTGGCGTCACGAGCCCGGCCAGGCCAAGAAACCCCACAGAATGAATTGATTTGATAAATGGACATTTATTACACTCACAAATTGGCTGAAACCAATTTTGGTCACGTCAACCCCTGATAACTGCTGGGGTATTGATTTGTGTAAAGTAATACAGTGAATTTATCAGTTCAATAGCCAGCTTGAAAGGCCTCTCAGAGACCCAGCGCTGTGGCGGCTCTGCAGTTACGGAGGGCAAAAGAAAGCCCAGGCTGGGAAGAGCTCTGGAGCCAAGGAGGCCCAAGGTGGCAGCGCCTGCCTCCTTCTCTCCCTCTCTTGTGCTCTTTCTCTCTCTGCTGCTCCCAGAATTTCAGCCAGGACTGCTGTGCCTTAGTTCCTCCACAGCCAAGAGTGAGGAGAGCGTAGCCTTGTAGAGAGCGGAACTGCCTAAAATAGGGGTTGGATTCCCTCCGTGGCCAGGGATGCAAAATTGATGGTGCAGATGTCCTGGACAGCTCAGTTGGTTACAGCGTGGTGCTGATAACGCCAGAGTTGTGGGCTTGATCCGCTTATGGGGCAGCTGCATTTTCCTGCATTGCAGGGGGTTGGACTAGATGATCCTCAGGGTCCCTTCTAACTCTACAATTCTATTATTCTACGTTGAGCTACCGGTGTCTTAACTGCCACATCAGCTGGTCTTTGCTCTGTTGCTAACCAACACTTTCACCTTCCAATCCTAGGCAGTGCTGCACAGTGTACCTATCAAATTATTTTTATCTTCAGAAAAAACCCTTGCTGTCTTTTTCTTGGTTGGCTTTCGCAGCAGCCCTGCCAGGCGGACCTCCATTATGCCCATTTTGCAGATCAGGAACTGAGGCCGAGATCACCACGGTGGTCCAGGTCTCCCAATTTCCAAATTGCTAGTGAGTAATTATGAGTTGCTTTGTGCCCTTTGTCCAAGTCAATATAAAAAATATGTTTCCAAGGAATCTTGCAAGAGCATCGCAGAACCAGCGCACTGAGAGGGTCTTTCTTGCATTTTACCTGTGGAATTTCAACCAGCCAGCCTTCAGCCACATATGTTTGAAATCACATGAGTTAAATATGCTTAAGATGTGGCCGTACTATAATGCTTCTGAATAGCAGTTGTCCCCACAGGCAACTGGTTGGCCACTGCGGGAAAAGGATGCTGGGAACAGGATGCTGGGCTCGATGGGCCATTGGGCCTGATCCAGTAGCCAGGCTCTTCTTCCATTCTTATGGAAATGAAGGAAATGTTCAAGGTGACTTTGTCTGCTCCAGAAGGGGAAGGGCAAGGAAGGAAAGCAGAGCCCTCAGAACCACCATCACCTGGCTGCTGAAAGTCCTGCTCAGCACCACCTCCACCTGCCAGGATTTTGCCAGTCACTCCCCAAACACTTCCACTCATATCCCTTCAGGTGTGAAGAGTTAACATTTGCTTCCATTTTAAAAAGAAGAAGAAAAAGACCTTCCCCTTCTAAAGCCCACACTTTTCATGGTGTGACTCTGGTCACGTCAAACTGCTCCTTCCTTTTGCACAAGGAGGAAATGGCGTCGCCACCCTTTCCCAAAACGATCAGTTGAGCAAGGCCTGATTCCAGCCTCAAAAATTTTCTTGCTTTCATTTTAAAAACACATGGAAGGAAACAGGCAGAAAACATTCAGAGATGCTCATCACTCTCTCTCTCTCTCTCTCCCTCTCTCTCGTTGAAAGGATCATTATTTGGAGACCCATGTCTGGAAAAGCTCACTGGCCCTTCTCCAGAGTTCGTCCTCTGCCTCTGGGTGCTTCTGGACATGCCGTCCACATTGCCCTTCTCTGCAAGAAGCACAGTGGCCTGTTTTCAAGCATCTGGTGGTTCTCATTCTCGCTCTCTCTCCTTCTGTCTGCCTTTCCCTCCCCTTCCATTATCCTACTCGGCTATCACAAGAAATATCTTTTGCTCGTCATTCTTTTCGAGCTTGGCATTTCGCCTACTTTTAAGGAGCGCCTCTGTCAAGCGTAATACGTCGCATCTCCGGTCTCGCTGACCTCTGTCAACCGCCAAGACAGGGCTGAGTGGAATTTTAAAAAGCCGCCTGTGCAGGTGAGCGCTCTCTGCAAGGAGGCCATGTCTATTGCTTTTTTTTTTAAAAAAAATAATTTTTTATTAAGATTTTAAACAAAGAAAAAGAAAAACAACACAGACAAAGAAAAAAAACAATACAAAATTTAACAATAAAAAGACAAAACATAACAATTTAAAACAAACTCTCTTTTCCGCTCCCATTTTTATATTACTTATTTTCTAGACTTCCTCATACCTCCCTCTTTTGTATTCCAATCTACATTATTTGTCCAGCAGTTTCTTTTCCACTTTTTTAAACCCAATCTTTAATTTAATAAAATATTATAATATAAAACTTAAACTTTTTTAAACATAATCCTTATTCTTAATGTCATATACCTTTAAATTTTTCCCCTTTTATTATCAAATTTCCATTTCTTTAAACATCCTTAATCTTGATCTTAATCTATCCTTAACTTTAACCTGTATAGCTGGAAACCATTTATTTTCAATCCAACATCACTCTAACATTCCTTAATTTTGCAATGTTTCTGAAGATAGTCTTTGAATTTCTTCCAATCTTCCTCCATCGACTCTTCTCCCTGGTCACGGATTCTGCCAGTCATTTCCGCCAATTCCATATAGTCCATAAGTTTCATCTGCCATTCCTCCAGTGTGGGAAGTTCTTGTGTCTTCCAATACTTTGCGATGAGTATTCTTGCTGCTGTTGTTGCATACATAAAGAAAGTTCTATCCTTTTTTAGCACCTTTTGGCCCACTATGCCCAGGAGAAAGGCCTCTGGTTTCTTGGGGAAGGTATACTTAAATACCTTTTTTAGTTCATTATATATCATTTCCCAGAAAGCCTTAATCTTTGGGCACGTCCACCAAAGGTGAAAAAATGTACCTTCAGTTTCTTTACATTTCCAACATTTGTTATCGGGCAAGTGATAGATTTTTGCAAGCTTGACTGGGGTTATGTACCACCTATATATCATTTTCATAATATTCTCTCTTAAGGCATTACATGCCGTAAATTTCATACCAGTGGTCCATAACTGTTCCCAGTCAGCAAACATAATGTTATATCCTACGTCCTGTGCCCATTTAATCATAGCCGATTTTACCGTTTCATCTATTGCAACAACCTAGCGCCCTTCTGGGCATCTCCCATCAGCCCCATCCAACGCATCAACTTGGGGGAAGGCTGCAAAATACAGCTCCTGCAGCACCCGCTCTTCTTTGCACAAAGTATCACAAAACACTTTTATGAGAGTGCCTACACCGACTGGCAGCCACTCTCCAGGTTTTCAGGCAGGATGCATCTCCCAGCCCTGCCTGGAGGTGCCTGGGATTGAAGCTGAGATGTTCTGCACGCAGACCAGGTGCTCTGCCCCTGAGCTATGGCTCTACAGCTTTTGAGAAATGCGTTGGAAGGCAGAGGCCTTGTTCTAATTAAGACTGGAAACTGGGAAGGCCTTCACCGGATGAGGCGTCGCTCCTCTCCTTGATGTATCAGTACCTTTTCAGCCTAAGGAGCGTGTGAAGCTGTCGTGGCATGTGAAGTCAGGACATTGGTCCACCTAGGCTGGGGATATTTCCCCTGAATGGCAGCAAAGAGTCCCTTTCCTGGGCTGTTCTCTAAGCCCAGTTGTCTGTGATAGCATCTTAACTGGAGATGGCAGGGACTGAACGTGGGGCCTTCTGCATGCAGCTGTTGCTGAGCACGTAATGCGAAGGAAAGGTCGGAAAGGTTCTGTGGTGGCTGGAAGCTAAATTGCCGCTGTGCCCAACAGTCCTATGGGCAGGTTTTGAATCTGAGATTATCTTTGAATGCGGCACTGACCCCTTTGACCCTCCCCCTTTTCTCCTGCACCTTGAGTTCTTTTAAGTTTAGAAACTGCTAGATCAGGCCGTGTAGCGCAGCATCCAGTTCTCACAGTGGCCAACCAGATGCCTCTTTGGGGAAACCCACGAGCAGGAGTCGTGTACAAGAGGACTCTTCCCCTCCTGCAGTTCTGGAGGCAGAGCATAGCCATTCTGGCTAATAGCCATCAGTAGCCCTTTCCTCCTCTATGAATTTGTCTATTCTCCATTTAAAGTCACCCAAGTTGGTGGCTGTTACTGTCTCCTGTGGAAGAGAGTTCCACAGTTCCCTCTCCTTCTCCATGAATGTGTTTGATCCTCTTTTAAAGCATTAGGAAAGGACGAACGAAAGAATGACTGAGAGCTGCGTGGCTTCATCTCTCTGTCTTGGAGCGGCTATGTATTTTAATTAAGACCACCAGCACACAGAATAGCAATGGGGCAGGAGGAGAACACAAGTCTTGGCACCAGGGAACTTGCAATCTAAATTGTAATTTAACAAAATTAAGTGGTTTCATGGGCTCCAGTGGAATGGCTAACAGGGCGGTGACTATGAGAAAAGCTTTCTGGATCAGGCCATTGGCCCACACGCGGGCATAGATGCACTGTGGATGCAAACATGGCAGTTTAGTAGCAATTTCCAAATTCCTTTGGCTTTCTCATGGAATGTGGCTACTGGTACATTAGTCACTGAGCTGCTGGATCGTCCTCTCCTGCTGGGTCCATAGTTCCTCAAACCCTGGCAGGCAGAAGTGGCTTCACCTCAGTGTTGTGTTTACAACTTGGAGGCCCCAAGAAAAAAAAGATCTGGGTGGTGAACGTGGCACATAGAGCAGCTGGCATGGTTTGGAGGTTTGTGACACCATTTTTCATGCTGTGTGCTGACTTTCCTGGGTGGCTTTGGCATGCTGAAGTGGTCCTCTGAATGCTTCAAAGCACACCAAGATGGCACCTCGCCCTGTCCTGACTGGAAACTGCTTCTTGAACATTTTCCAGGAGAGGAGGAGTCACGGTCAGGACACGGATCAGGGGCTCAAGATGCTGCTTCACCGTGCCAGAGCAACCCAGAAAAGCCAGCCTCGTGGTGAGTTGTGCACCTCCGAGAAAAGGGAAGTGAGGGTTGAGTTTGTTTTTAAACATATTTACATGCTGCCAATTCATAAAACAATTTATACAAATTAACATAAAACGCCATTAAAACTCCTGCCAAGTTGTGTCAGGAAGAGCCTGTTCTGCAACTTGCATAAATTAAGCAAAATTGCCTGCATGCTTTTGTTTTGCATAATTTATTCTGTTGGGGGCTGCTTGCTGAGGCTGACAAGGGGCAGAGCGTTGTGGCTTCACATCACTGCAGCTCAGAAATCCAGCTCCTGCCCAAGTGCTTTTTCAAGCCTGTCTTTATCTCTGAAGACAAGAGCTTCATAGAGTTTTTGAAGCAAAAGCTGATTTTCTCAGAAGCCTAAAGCAAGAATCCTGCGCCAGGCCGTTATACAATCATACCTTGGGTTACAGAAGCTTCAGGTTGCGCGTTTTCGGGTTACAGACGCGCCAAAACCTGGAAGTACCAGAATGGGCTACTTCTGGGTTTCAGCGCATGCACAGAAGCGCTAAATGGCTCTTTCTGCATGCGCAAAAGTGCCGAATCGCAACCCGCGCGTGAGCAGACATGATGCTGTGGGTTGCGGGCACTGCGGGTTGCGAATGTGCCTCCCACACGGATCACGTTTGCAACCCGAGCGTCCATTGTACAGTCATACCTTGGGTTGAAGTAGCTTTGGGATGAGTATTTGCGGGTTGCACTCCGCAGAGACCCGGAAGTAAAAGAGTGTGTTATTTCCGGGTTTTGCCGTTCGCGCATGCACAGATGCTCAAAATGACGTCATGCGCAGAAGCAGCGAATCGCGACATGCGCAGACGCAGGTTGCGTTTGCTTCAGGATGCGAATGGGGCTCCGGAACAGATCCCGTTCACATCCAGAGGTACCACTGTACTTGGATAGAAGGACAGAATCCAGGCAGCCACATGTGGAATCGACAGGGCATTTCTTGGGTCAGAACTCACAAGCAAATATTTACTGTATTTTTCACTCTATAAGACGCACCAGACCACAAGACGCACCTAGTTTTTGGAGGAGGAAAACAAGAAAAAAAATATTCTGAATCTCAGAAGCCAGAACAGCAAGAGGGATCGCTGCGCAGTGAAAGCAGCGATCCCTCTTGCTGTTCTGGCTTCTGGGATAGCTGCGCAGCCTGCATTCGCTCCATAAGACGCGCACACATTTCCCCTTACTTTTTAGGAGGGAAAAAGTGAGTCTTATAGAGCAAAAAATACGGTATTTAGGAACACTGTACCCCACTTTTCACTATCTGCCTCAGAAGTGACTGTTATGCCATTTTCCAAAGAAGTCTCTGGAGCTTCTCCTGCTGCTTCACTGAGGCACCGCCCCTTCTTTTTCTCTGCTCTCCCCAGTAGCCCAAATGCCCCAGTTCCAACTTCCATATAACACTGCACATCCCACCCCAAAAAAGAATGTCCACTGATTACATCCATTAGGCACCAGCGACAAGTGTTGAAGAACATAAAGAGAGCCTGCTGGATCACGCCAATGAGCTTTTTTGGCCAGCATCCTGTTCTCACAGTGAACAGATCATAGAACTAAAGAGTTGGAAGGGACCCCAAAGGTAATCCAGTCCAGCCCCTGCCTGCAATGCAGGAATATCAGCAAAAGCATCCAACCTCAGTATAAAAACCTCCAAGAAAGGAGAGTCCACAACCTCCCATGGGAAACCTGGAAGCAGGATTCGAGCACAAGGGAAACTCTCCTAATCTGTGGTTTCCAGCAGCTGGCATTCAGAAGCGTTGGTGCCTCCAACTGTAGAGGCAGAGCAGAGCAGAACCATCATGGCTAGTAGCCATCACTGCCTCCTGTGGAATTGAGTTCCAAAGGTGAACTGTGTGCTACGTAGAGAAATCCTTTATTTTATGTGTCCTGTCCTTTGCTTTAATGCAGCAGCCAGACCTTAAGCACAGCCACTGAATGTAAACAAATGCTGCCCCCTTGTTCTCATGTGGTCACTTTTTCCTTCCCTTTTTTAAACGCTGTGCATGTGCTGTGATCTGAGAGTGCAAAGCTGCAGTCGGGGTGCCAAGAGCAGCAGGATCCACAGGGAAGCTAGCTGCCCCAGAGGGCAGGCTTGGCCAACCCAGAAGTTTTAAGTGCTGCTCCTCTGCAAAGTAGATCCTTTTGTGTTCCAAACCCATCCCATGTTTCCCCGGCATATCTCCCCTGCATCCTCCTCCATCCTAGCACCATTATTTACTGCGGCCCATGAGTCTTCACAAGGCTGCCGTGACCTTGAATTCAAGGCTTCCTTCCCGTTAGCGTCGGAGCGGTAGCAAACTTCTCCTTCCCAGGTCTTTGTGCACAAAGGTGGCGCTTACAAGCTGGCGAGCTATTGAGCCTCTAGAATCTCTCTTTCCCCCAACCCTTTACCCTCCCCACTCGGTCCACCCGACAGGTCCCTTTCTGGTTCATTCAGTGTCCATCCTCCCTCCTGTTTCCCTGGCAACGCTGAGTGCACATCCTGGAAAACTTTATCCGAAATCTGCTCTGGGCAGCTTTCCAAATCCATGCTAACCTGATTAGGTATCTCTGGGGGCCTTGCTGGCTAATCAAATTAGGTAGCTCTAATGGCAGCGAAGACTTTGAGTGGGCAGAGAGCAGTAAAACATAGTGTATACTTAGTGATAATTATACTTGCTGTTGTGTCATTGATTTATATGCCTTTCCCTTTTTTATGTGCCCAGATATATAACCCCTTCCTTTGTTTTTCTTGCATTTTCGATTGCAGCCATTCGGAGGAAGGAAAATGGCTGGTATGACGAGGAGCATCCCCTGGTTTTTCTCTTCTTGGGATCATCGGGAATAGGTAAAGTCGGCGTCCTTTTTTTTCCCTTCTTTCATTTTTTGGGGGATGATGCAGGCTGGTCCAGCCCCAGAAAAAACGCCAGTGCTGATTTTTCCACACATGCTAGAAAAACCAAAGATACTGCACCACAGATGGGCCAGAAATCTCAAGTCTAGTTTTCAAGTACTTTTCTGGGCTCAAGTAAAAGACAGATTTTTCAGTCCACTTACCTTCCCCATGCCCAGACACTGCCAGTGGTTCAAGTCATCGGCAAACACCACTTTCTATAACAAATAAGTTGCAACAGCATAATAGTGGCACTGAATGTGAACTATCCGAAATTCCAAAGTGAGAAAATCACACTAGGTACAATATTCATGTGAAACATAGAATTTTTATTATTATTATTCAGTTACAAAAATATTTGTATACTGCTGTGTCGTTAAAAAAATCCCACACCACCAAAGCGGTTTACAGAAATAAAAGCATAAAACCATGCAATAAAACCATTAAAAGGGTAAAAACAGACATCAATTCACCAGGATCATTCCCTATTTGAAAATCCTTAATCGTAGTATCATCCCAGAAGTCACCAAGAGTTGTACTGCCTTTCGCAAGCTTCTTGCCAGCTCCAGCAAAGGATGGCCCTGGGAAGAGCTCTATGTGCTGCCAAGGCATCCACAACCACTGAACCGAACTGGCACCCTGAGATCTGATTCCATTTTTGAAAGACAGAAGCAAGTTTGTAGTTCCTGTTGCAGAGCAAAGATTGAGAAGGGTCCAGCAAAGGCAAGGAAGCTAGAATGGACCAGGAAGAGCCTTCTCAGTGGAGTAAAATCATGGGTGGGGAGCACAAGGGGACCCAAGGCCCAGTCAGCATTCTGGACCTCTATGTTGTTTCGGGTTCTAAGCTCTGATTAGCACCAACCATGGCTTGGCATGGGGTCTGAATTGAATCACCCTTTCTGAGACACGGAACCAGGCAGTGTTAGAAACTGGGATAGAAAAGCTAGGAGCCAAATGGCTCCTCGGACCAGAGTTGTGGGCGCCAAAACAGAATGTCTAGATGCCACCGGGGGGGGGAGCGGTGGTCAGCAACACTTTTAATTTATTATTTTGATAAGCTTGAATTAATACACAATTTGCATAAGTGACACATTGTTAATACCACATTTTAGCAGAAATGGTTAATGCATGTTTAATTTGGTATTGGCAATAAAAATATTAGTACCATACTTCAGTTTTCAAAATACTCTACTATTTATTATTAAACTCCTTAACATATTGTCTATCCTTAACCTATACTTTGAGGCTCCAAAGCACATACATTTCAGTAATCCTTGAGTGTCAGCCAGGCGCAAAAAAAAATGGCACCCAGACTTTTTGAGGTGCTTTTTGGCAGCCTGCTAATTCCGAACCCTGGAACCAGGCAGATGAGAGAGCAGGTGAGGCAGAGTCATGGAAATTAGGGGTGAAGAGGCAGGACAAACCTTTTAGCAGAGAATAAAGTGTGGCTTTGGGAGATACAGTATGATCGCATATTACACACACATCTAACATGTGCTATTTCAACCGTACATGGTTGAAGACCAGCTGGCTGAAATCACACAAATCAAATGTAAGCGGATAGCTTAAAAGATCCTTTTGAACAGGATTTTCCCTGCATGGAGAGTGCTTTTAAACTGTCAGACTTGCATACCAGGCTGTTGAGATGCTCTTGCCATGATCTCAGACAACCCTGTGAGATTTCATGAGAGCATCTCAGAACCCAAAAAGCAAACCTGAGAGCTTTAAAGTTCTCTGCCTTGCTTGGAAGGTAAGGATGGTCATGCAAGGGTGCATCGGGTATACGCCTTTTTTGCGTATATGCACTGTCACCAGAGCGCAACCCCTGCACAAGATGCAGTTGCACCGAAAAGGGTGAAGCAGCAGGAATTGGCAGCCCCTGGTTGTAAAAGGAATAGCCAAGGGAAGGATTGACGCTCAGGAGTCTTCCCTTCGGCATCTCGTCTGGGTCAGGCAGACCCTGGAGTGCCCTTTCACCTTGAGGGCACCTTACCAGGGTCCTTCAGGGGCTGCTTTGCGCAGGTACATGCCTCGCGAGAGACGAAATCTCCCGCCGCGGTGGGGGCTGACATGTTTGTTGATACCATGTCGATGTGGATTTATTCCGTAATATGTGTTTTGAATTATTGATCGCCTTCATGCCTAGACTTTTATGATAGACATTGCATATAAATCCAATAAACAAAGAATATTGTGTTTCGCAGCAAATCTGCTCCTTGTCTTGAAGTCAAGGACGTTGCGTTGGGGGAAGACTGGGTTGAGCTCCATCACTCGCCTGGTCCTCCAAAGCAATTTTGCACAGCAAATCCTTCAAGGCTTCCTTTTCCCCCCGGTGGAGGCAGCAGGGACAGTTCACTTTCCTTTGCAGTTTATGTTTTCCAAAAACACCCCACAAAAGTTACTTTAAGAGCAAAAGGTATTCTGTAGCCCAGCTGTCCCCAATCTGGTGCCCTCCAGAGCTTTGGGCTGCAGCTGCCTTCAGGCACAGCTAAGCACAGCCATTGATAGGAGTTGTATGGAGGGCACCAGGTTGGCAGTCCAAAAAAGTCCTTTCTGTCATCTTACAAAAAAGTGACCATGATAACTAACAATTTTGTGAGTAGCACCGAGTTAAAAACAAAAGAGAAATGTAAATGGGTAAAATTGATGGTAACTGCAGCCAGACAGGTTATAGCGAGTACTATAATTGGGAAAATGCAGAAGAGCTAGAGGTGAACCAATGGAGGGAAAAGCTGAGTAATATTATAATTTTAGCATATCTAACTGTGAAGATACACAGAATGAAAGGATTTAAGGTCAGTGAGAAAGAAGAGAATTGGTTTGAGAAGATATTGAACTATTTGGGTAGGTTTGAACAATTTGGGACAATTAAAATGTTAAAAGTTAAATAAACCTTGTGGATGGAGGAGTGTTAACGTATATAAAATTGTACATATGGTTGATTTGAATATGTTATTATTGATTATGTATACCCAATGTATCAGGCGCCTGGGGGATTTCACTGTTTGTGTTTGGTTATTGGTAAAAAATAAAAATTTTATTTAAAAAAAACTAATAATTTTGTGTAGGGAGAGTTTGGAGGCCTTTATAGGGTTAAAAGAATCAGTTTCCAGCAACCAGTTCCATTCTAATGAGGCCAAGAAGAGCTCCAGGTGGGACTGTGCAGATGAAGGGGCAGGGGATGGCGGCTCTGGAAGGAGGAAGTGAAAGCAGAACCTACGGGGTCCATCCCTGAGACTGACAGCTGTCACTGACGTGGGTACTTCAGGGAACCTGTTTGTGAGCAGAGCATTAAAAGAGCCATTGCCCCATCCAGTCCAAAAGCAACTCTCCCCTCCGGTGGTTTCCAGCACCTGGCATTCAGAAGCCTTGCTGCCTCCGACGGAAAGAGCCACAGGTCATGCCACTGTCACGCCACTCCTTCCAGCGCTGCCTGCCAGGGGGTGTGAGAAAGCCTGGACCCACGGAAGGGGAGACCATGCTGTGACTGACGCCCAGCATCCTTGCCGACTCAGTTTCCAGGTGTTTGAAACCTGGGGGGGGGGGGAGCCACAGTGTGGGCTCTGTAGCCCAGGATGTCCCACGCGGCCAGTAGACACAGGAAAAGGTGGTGCTGTTGCAGTGGCTCTCGTGTTCCTGGGGTAGCTTGAGAATTGAGCCTGTGTTGCGTTTGTTTTTGTTTCTTTAAGTATATATTAGCCCAGTTGGTAGAAGACTCTTAATCTCAGGATTGTGGGCTCGAGCCCCTTTTCGGGCACAAAGTTTCCTGCATTGCAGGGGGTTGGACTAGATGACCCTGGTGGTCCCTTCCAACTCCACAGTTCCATGATCTCACTTGTAACACAGATGCTGCAGACGGGTCTTGGTTTTGTTGTCGCACAACTTCCCGAGAGCTTTTTGCATGGTCTCTTCTTGATGTCCTTATCAAGGCGTTTCTCCCTCAACACTCCCTCTTTTCTCTGCCACTTCTTGAACAGGCAAAACTGAACTGGCCAAGCAGACTGCCAAGTACCTGCACAAAGATGTCAAGAAGGTAAGGCCTCTGCTCTCGGTTCCCCCAGCAGAACAGCCTTGTTTCCCCAGGCGTCAGCGGGTGGAGCGGCAAGGGATCCTAGAGGCATCGACCAAGAGGGTTCCCATTTCACAATTTCCTCCCTGGAGCTGCTCTGGAACGATAACCTCCGCAGAATCCGCACAGGCAGCCCATTCCTGTGCACGACCTGATCCAGAAGAATTGCCCTGGCCACAACTGTGGCTTCTGTGGGAGCGAGTCACCGCTTTAAAATGTTGCAGGTTTTGGAGTTCTGCATGATGCCGCTCTGTGCGCAGGTTTCCAGGGCGAAACCACCGTCCCTTTTCCAGTTACGTTTTCGTCCTCGCTGCCGTGGTTACTGGCTCCGCATCAAACCCCACAACAGCCAAGGACAAACAGGCTGTGCTAATTCAATGGCATGCTCAGAACAAGCGGTTCATTAAAGCCTAATCAGTTTGTTGGTTATTTAGTTAATTAATGCATCAAAGAGGGCGTCACAAAACGTGGAGAGAATTATTGGGGAAGGACAGGAGGAGAGGGTGGCTTATAACAGCAGCTGGCGGGTTAAGGGAGATGTTAATACCGAGATCTTGTTTCTGTGCCAGCTGAAAGCCCGCCTCATCCTCTGGGTGTGCAGCAAAAACCTCGCCGGTTTTTAAACAAAGGACAGTATATTCTGATTGTGGTTTCTGCATCATTGGTTACCTTTTACAGCCCAGCCCAGCCGCCTTGAGTACATCTGAATGCAGGAATGCAAGAAAAGTTGGGCGTGATTTGGGTGAAAATTCTGGCCGCTGTGTTTAGAGAAAGCCCAGGGATTCTCAGTAACTTGGGGGTAGAGGATCTGCTTTGAGGGACGAAAGTCCCAGCCTTGGTCCTCTATGACACCTCCAGGTAGAGCTTAGTTTGTGCCCTGCCTGAATCCCTGAGGAGTTTCTTGGGTGGCTTTGAGCTCTGCTCAGTCAGCGCAAAGGCGGCATATGTAGTCCAGCATCCCTATTAACCAGTAACTAAATAAAACAAGCATACCATTTGTCTTTCTCCCCCTGCGTAGTCTACTGGCAGCCGCTTTCCAGGATTTGAAAATGAACTGTTCCCAGCCCGACCTGGAGGGGGGGTGCTGAACCTGGGCCCTTTTGTAGTCAGAGCAAATGCTCTGCCACTTCTTCTCCTAACAGCTTTTGTGCATGCAGATCAATGTGCAAAGTGGGGCCACAACACACAAGTCTCTGCAGAGCCTGGCATTGCAACAGGCACACTCTGTCAGGGATCCAGGATTGACTGCAGCTGCCTGTCATCAGCACCAATAAATGAGTCCCTTTTTGTTTTCTTTGTGCCACCAGGGTTTCATCAGGCTGGACATGTCTGAGTTTCAGGAAAGACACGAGGTTAGTAAGAGAGATGCACACCCTCAGCAACACCATCACTCTTTGAAGATCCCAGAATCGCACCTGGCGACACTTGGCATTCTCACCTTTGCTGACACTCTCTTCTTGGTGGCAAGCTCTCTCCAGATACTCGCTCCTCCAGCCTCAACTGAAAAAAGAAAACTTAACATTTCTATGGTGTGCCCTATAGAACACCATCTCCCATACATTCCTTCCTGTCTCCTGAGAACAGAAGGGAGACAGCTGTATTCTGTGTTCCTTGTTTCTTAGATGCAAGATTAGTTGGGGTATAAAGTAAGGCTTTTTCCATGGTGCCTGGAGAGAGATCTCAAGCCATCTCCTTGTTCATTTTCCTCCCCTTTTTATTTTTATTCTGTTCATTCATTTATTCGTTGTTGTTGTTGTTGTTGTTGTTTTGGCCTTGCTACGAAAGGCTCAGTATTGTCTGAAAGTGGAAATCTGTTGCAGAATAAGCTTGTTGGCTTTTTTTAATGAAAAAAAGAGCGAATTTTTAATCTAGTGGTTCCTATACCTTTTGGGAACCCCATCCCTTGGTTCCACAAACTCAACCCCAGTTCCCCCTACTCTATAAAAAGCATTATTCAGAATTGCAGTTTGCATGAGCCCTCTCATCACATGTCAAGGACAACTATCTGAAAGGAAAGTTTTAAATGTTGGACATTTTGCTATGTTTTTATATGTGCTGTAAGCCACCCAGAGTGGCTGGGGAAATCGATCCAGATGGGTGGGGTATAATTATTATTATTATTATTATTATTATTATTATTATTACTACCACTACTACTACCACCACTACTACTGAGGAAGAAAATAACATGATAAAATTAAAAACCATTAATTTCACATTTATTCAAAATCCACTTAAAATGGTTTAATTTAATTAATTCAACCAAACGGATGAACTCAATACAGTGATACTAGCTGTTCAAAGTGTGATAGTCATTTAGACTTTCAGCGCCCCCCCCCCCCGCTTCCCCCCTTGCCTCTTAGTGCCCTCCTAGTTATTCCACTGTCCCCACCCCCAGGAGATGGTACAACCACTAGCCTAGTCCCTGCTGATCAGATATTCCTGGTGTGGATTTAGAACATGAGTGGAAAGCAGAGTGTAGTGCAGAAACTCTTAAAAGTGTCAGGGCCCCTTCAGAGCTACCTGCCAAGGCTTCTATCTCTGGGCCCTTGAACCAATAACTCAGCTGCCTCTGCTCTCCGTGTCCACCTCCCATTCCGCCAGACCATGCAAAAAGCCACCACTGTATATCCCTTAAAACGTAGATTGAGGAGCAGAACTGATTCTGCAACATAAGCAGCCATGTGATGATGCGCCTAATTTGCACATTGCGGTCTTAGTAATTGGATTTCCTCCATTCCAAATGCACCCAGCTCTGGACGTACAATCTTTTCCTTGCTCTCTCAGCGCGCTGAAATCAGACGATGCAGGCTCCGAACTCCTTGTGCAAGCTAGTCTTGCTTTGAGCCACAGCGAGTCTCTTTCCCCCAGCCCAGGGCTTGGGCGTCCCCATCTGACGCCTGTGGCTTCTTTCCCTCCCAGGTTGCCAAGTTCATTGGCTCTCCGCCGGGTTACGTCGGCCATGAGGAAGGCGGCCAGCTCACCAAGAAGCTGAAGCAGTGCCCAAATGCCGTGGTGCTCTTTGACGAAGTGGACAAGGCCCACCCGGACGTCCTCACCATCATGCTGCAGCTGTTTGATGAAGTAAGACCGTCTTTTTAAAGAAGCCGCCCGAGGCCCCTGTGGCAACGTGAGGTTCCTGTGTGATTTGGCAATATACCCTCGCTAGCCAGTCAGGAAAGAGTTATTTGGTCCACACAAAAATGCAGACTTATCAAGTTGAAAGGCACGTGTTAACCCAGATAACCCCCCCAGCACATTGGACCCTGTTTTGTGCAATAAATGATTGCCTGGTCCTTTGGGCTGCTACAGCAACCAGAGAAAACTGTGCACGTGTACATCACCACAAACCCAGAAATGGCACAAAGGGGGCAAAACGGCCCTAAAAGAGTGCAGAAATGGCACAAAAACAACATCCAGTAATCCCAGGGGCCCCTGCACCAACCTTTGAGGCCTGTGGAGAGTTGGAGTTGGAGCAAGGAGGTTTGGAGGGAGCGATGGCAGTGTTTGCAGGTTTTTCCAATGGCATTCCGAATATACGTGGTTTAAACGCACCGTACCTCGGAACATAACCCAAGGCACGTGTTAACCCAGATAACCCCCCAGCACATTGGACCCTGTTTTGTGCAATAAATGATTGCCTGGTCCTTTGGGCTGCTACAGCAGCCAGAGAAAACTGTGCACGTGTACATCACCACAAACCCAGAAATGGCACAAAGGGGGCAAAAACGGCCCTAAAAGAGTGCAGAAATGGCACAAAAACAACATCCAGTAATCCCAGGGGCCCCTGCACCAACCTTTGAGGCCTGTGGAGAGTTGGAGTTGGAGCAAGGAGGTTTGGAGGGAGCGATGGCAGTGTTTGCAGGTTTTTCCAATGGCATTCCGAATATACGTGGTTTAAACGCACCGTACCTCGGAACATAACCCCCACGTAAATGAAGATTTCTTGCATCTTAAATTCCTCCTTTTCCTCCAAGGAGCTCATTGTGGCATACAGTTCTCTCCCCCTCTGCACTTCATCCCCACCACAAATCTGCTGAGAGGCACTGAGCTTCTTGGGCCAAGTCAGCATCTGAACTCAGGCCTCCCAGGATCTAGTCCAACGCTCTAGCCGCTACACCACACTGCCTCCAACATATTTATCCATATTAACCAGTAAACGGCAGATTCCATTTTGTAGAATAGCCATGGGGAAGGATGAGAAGCCGATGAGGGGGCTCTGAGCCCTTCCTTTCTCCAGATGGCCAGGGCGTTTCCTTCGTCATTATTTGGTGTGCCACCATAGGGATTAGTAGCTTGCACTCTGCTGCTCCTTTTCCGCAGTTGAGCATCTCAGGATACTGGATTTTACGCAGAACACACCCTCCTGCTCCCAGGAGATTCAGCATCCTTGAGTCCTGAACTTACTTGCATCACTTTACTTGTTTCCCACTTGATTGGGGTGAGGGGCATGGATACATGTGCAGCTACGCCTTGGGGTCGTTGGTTTGTGCCTGAGGACGTCTGACTCCTCCAGGCTGACTGGCCGACCTGCAGTGGAGCACTTGGCATTGGCCTGAGGGGAGGGCTGAGCGCGTGCAGATTTCACCACCCTCCTGTGTGTGTCCTCACTTCTTGGTGTGTGTTTGTTTTTTTATTAAAACTGGCTGTGTGGTTGTTGGTGGTGGTGGCGGGCTTTTCAGGGTGGGGGGCTTCTCTCTAGGATTAATATCACCGGTATTGCATAGATCATGGTGGCAGCCACTAAATGCGAAATCAATTCCTGAACCGCCTGCCTGACAGAGCAATAACCGAAATGTTAATCCCAAGCACCCGGCACAAATTTGTGTCCTTCAGCTGGGCACGGCTGCGCCTGGCAGCGTTGGGAGGGAGGGGACAGACGACTTATGCTTTTGTTTTATTTTTCTTCTCTCCCCCTCCCTGCCGTTCCCCAAACTGGTATTTTCGAAAGGTTCTTATTTTTAGAGTTCTTGGAGGGAGACAGAGGAGGGGAGAGCTCAGAGTGGGGGCAGAGGCAATGACTCTCCTGTGCAGCAACCCCCAAGTGCCTCTTGCCCTCCCCTCCGGTTAGCTGTGTATGGTATTAGGAACTGTTATGATCTCATGTCTGATGAGGGAGCAGCTAGAACAATCCCCCTGTACCAATGATATGTCTTTATAGCTCACAGCCATTCCACTGGCAGCGTATTAAACTGGCTTTCTCCAGCACAAGTAAGCTGCCTTCCGGGGCTGGGGCGGGTGCACAGGCAGTGCCCAAATGCTTCCATTCCTCTTCCAAGCAACATAGAACTGCAGAGTTGGAGGGGACCCTGGGGGTCATCTAGTCCAGCCCCCTGCAATGCAGGAATTTCAGCTAAAGCATCCATGGCTGATGGCCACCCAACCTCTGCTTTAAAAGCCTCAAGCAAACGAGAGTCCAGCACCTTCTGAAGGAGTCTGTTCCACTTTCTCAAATGGCTCTTACCCTCAGAGAGTTTAGTGCTTTAGTCAGAATCTCCTTTCTTGCCCCTTGGATCCGTTGATTCTGGTCCTCCCTTCTGGAGCAACAGAAAACAAGCTTGCACCTTCTTCCATGCAGCCCTTCAGATATTTGAAGATATCTGGTTCTCACGTCATCTCTCAGTCTTTTTTTATGGCAGCATTCCCCAACTTGATCCTTCCCAATGTATTGGACTAGATCTCCTACAAGGGCTGCTTTCTGGGGATCATTCTGCAGCCTCCTTGCAGAGCAGAGAGGGCCTTATGCCTGAATCAGCCCCCAGAAACTTCCCTTTCTAACGGTAGGCTTTGCATCAATTCCACTCCTTGTTCCTTACGGAGGAGTCTGACTCTGCTGTTCATTGCTGTTTCTGAAGGGCCGGCTGACAGATGGGAAGGGGAAGACCATTGACTGCAAAGATGCCATCTTCATCATGACCTCCAACGTGGCCAGCGACGAGATCGCCCAGCATGCCTTGCAGCTGAGGCAGGAGACCGTGGAACTCAGCCGGAAGAGAATTGCCGAAAAACTAGGTACCCGTTCCCCCTGTGTGCATTCCTCCCCCCACCCTCTAAACTTTGGATGTTCTCTTCCTTGTGCCAAACCCCAACCTGTGTGACATCCTTTCCACTGTATCAGACAAAGTTCTGGTCTGTTCCATGTCTCATTCAAGTGGCACCAAACATATCCCCAAAGCACAACGTGAAGGCAACAGGCTGCGCCCAGCAGTCTGCATTTAGCCACCAGCATTTAAGTTTGGGGTGTCTGCCACACCTCTTCCTAACCTCATGCCAGTGTGGTGAAGCAGATTAGAATCACCCCACTTTGCTATGGCGGTTGGCCCCGAGATCAACCCATCCATCATGAGATCCCTCACTCCTATCAAATCCCTCACTCCGCCATGAAATTTGCCCCAGGGTGCGTCCTTGGACCAGTCGCTGCCTCTCAGCCTAACCTAGGCTTCCTCAACCTCGGCCCCCCAGATGTTTTTGGCCTACAACTCCCATGACCCCTAGCTAGCAGGACCAGTGGTCAGGGATGATGGGAATTGTAATAATAAATAATAAATTTTTATTCATACCCCGCCCTTCCCGGTTCAGAAAACCTGGCTCAGGGTGGCTAACAACAAATTTAAAACACTTAATTGATGCTACAAAAAACAGCATAAAATATGGTATAAAACATGAATAACAATAAAATTAAAAATCGATTTAGGGGGGAAATCCATCCAATAAACATTAGATGATCACCAGGGCTAGCAGGCTAAATTAGTCCTAGTTGGGCCAGCGAGGAGACCAGGGGAGAATTAGCTGTGGGATCCCAGAGCGGGTAATCTTCATAAAAAGGGGAGGGGGAGGAAAGGAAGGGGAATAAAAGATCAGGCCAAGTTCAAATTGAAAGCCAGGCGGAATAGCTCTGTCTTACAGGTCCTGCGGGAGGAAGTTAAATCCTGCAGGGCCCTGGTCTCATGGGACAGAGCATTCCACCAGGTCGGAGCCAACACTGAGAAGGCCCTGGCCCTGGTGGAGGATAGTCTGACTTCCTTAGGGCCCGGGACCTCTAAACTATGGTTATTCATGGACCTTAAGGTCCTCTACGGGGCAGACCAGGAGTCTCAAAACATCTGGAGGGCCGAGGTTGAGGAAGCCTGGCCTAACCTACCTCACAGGGCTGTTGTGGGGATTCAGTGAGGGGGGCGGGGGCAACAATGTATGCCACCTTGAGCTCCTTGGAGAAAAAGGTGGGATATATAGGCAATCAATAATTTGTGCAACCTGGCTCACGACAGTCTCAGGACACTGGGCAAGCAGAATGAGCCAAGCTGCGGTGCTGGCTTCCAAAGCCAACAAGCAGGAGCAGAGGAACCCCCTGCTCTGTATCTGTGGGTCTGCCTGCACCCTGAGCCAAGCTTGTGCCTTTTCCTTTCAGATGACGTCCAGATCACAGACAAGATAACTATCTCTAAGCAGTTCAAGGAGAACGTCATCCGCCCCATCTTGAAGGTACAGATGGTGCTGTTTACCGCTAGCCTTTCCTTTCAGCCGTCTTGGGTTTCCAGACGTGGAACGCCCCAAGCCTCGGGAGTTTGTTTTCAGGCCTCCTCTTCGGTTTCAGGCGCTCAAATGGATGAGAGCAGAACTCCGACCTGGAGGGCTCCACAGTTGTTTCCCGCAAGCAAGCCTCTGAGCCGAAAGCACTTGCACATTAATGCCCCATGTCAAGAGGAAAGGCTGCTTTGGCTGGCATTCCTCACTGCCACCTTCAGCCCCAGATGCCACACACGCCCTGGGATGGCGAGGCAGATGGTATGGGGGAGCCTTAGGACTCCACCCCAGACCATCATTGAATTTCAAGAAGACAATTTGATATTTATGCGTCGCTATTGCTCAGGTGTGAGAAGCGCAGAGGATCATTATATAACATATACAGATAGCGTACACTTAGAATCATACCTCGGGAATCCCTGACAGATGGCCATCCAACCTCTGTTGAAAAAACCTCCAAGGAAGGAGAGTCCATCACCTCCCAAGAAAGTCCACTCCACTGTCAAACAGCTCTTCCTGTCTCTTACTTCGTAGATCGTACAAGATTTTTTACAAAATCTTCGTAGTTTTTCCTAGACAATATTTACCAGTACAGTGGTGCCTTGGTTTAAGAACAGCTTAGTTTATGAACAACTTGGATTAAGAACGCTGCAAACCCAGAAGTAGGTGTTTTGGTTTGTGAACTTTGCCTCCCCCGCTGCTGTGGGAAAGCACACCTTGGTTTAAGAATGCTTTGGTTTAAGAACAGACTTCCAAAACGGATTAAGTTCATAAACCAAGGTACCACTGTATAAAGGTAAAGGGACCCCTGACCATTAGGTCCAGTCGTGGCCGACTCTGGGGTTGTGGCGCTCATCTCACTTTATTGGCCGAGGGAGCTGGGGTACAGCTTCCGGGTCATGTGGCTAGCATGACTAAGCCGCTTCTCGCGAACCAGAGCCCTGCACAGAAATGCTGTGTACCTTCCCGCCGGAGCGGTACCTATTTACCTACTTGCACTTGGACGTGCTTTCAAACTGCTAGGTTGGCAGGAGCCAGGACCGGGCAACAGGAGCCCACCCCGTCACGGGGATTCGAACCACCGACCTTCAGATCGGCAAGTCCTAGGCTCTGTGGTTTAACCCACAGCGCCACCCGTGTCCCTTACCACTGTATAGCAGCACACATTTATTATGTAGCATTGGGAACATTCCAGTGGGTCACTAGGCATAATTTTTTAAAATACGGGGAACTGTATATCGTAATATAACAAACATCCATCGGAAAGAAGTCCGTACTAGCTTCTGGGGAATTCTCATATTTTTTAGAAACATCAGAAGCAACTTGGTGTATGAACACACTTGTCAGAGCTGGCTCCAGGTCCCAGCTCACAGAGGACCAACGCTAGCCGGCAGTAATGTACAAAAGTCTTTATTGAAGTACAGTTTCCATTTTCAAGCCGCAGCGCCCCAGCTCTACGTCTAGGGGTTAGATCGGCGAAGCTCCATCTGAGTCTCCGCCCCTGTACACCAGTTTAAGATTCTAGCCTTACTCCACCTCTTACGTCTCTCCTTTCTCCTCTGGGTCCTGCTACCCCCGGGTCCCTTCCTTCCTGGATTCTTCTGACGCTGACCCCCTGACTCCTCCCCTCTTTTCGGCGGGCTTTGGGACCTGGCTCCCTATCCGGGCTGCCAACTGCGCCGCCCTCCTGTACATTTGAACTTGGCGCGCGCCCCCAGCCTTCAACCTTCCTCTCGACCGTTTCCTCGCTCCCCGATGGAGGCGTGGCCAATCCTGACTCATGTCCTCCCACTGGCAGTGCGCCGCCTGATCCCGATGCCTGGGACCCCTCCCCTACTGCACTCTGGTGTGGACGCTGGTCCTGATTTCCAACTGCTGCTCTCTGAGTCCCCTCTGGCCCCTTCTTCCTGGGGTGTCCCCTCGGCACCCCCTTGCTCTGACCAAGGGAGCCCTTTCTGTGAATCTTCCGATTCGCTGGAAAGACTCAGAGACCTCGGACCGCTGTCATCGCTAACATTTCCTTCGGACTCCTCCCCCTCGCTCTCTATTTCCTCCCTTTCCTGTGCCTCTGCTCCTGAACCCCTGACAACACTGAACAGGAAAATTGAGAGCCTGCGATCCTATATGTTTACCTGGGAGTAAATTACGGCGCTGGAGCAAAGCAGGAGTCTCCCTGGTTCACACTTAGATGGGGGTAGAGTCCTCCTAAGCAACTTAATGAAGGGGAGCCCACCAGACGTAATTGGGGGAGTGGAGAGGTTCTGCTCATTCGTCCTTCTGTTCATTTCGATTTGCTTTCACTTCTCCTGGTCTGGTTTTGTCCTCCACGGACAGCAATTTCAACATGTTACAGGTTTTTTTTCCTGCAGACTGCTCATCCACTTTGCCTTCCCAGCAAACCTCTCTGCTCTGCCCCTTTTCCTCCTGCAGGCTCACTTCCGGAGAGACGAGTTCCTGGGAAGGATCAACGAAATTGTCTACTTCCTCCCCTTTTGCCACTCGGAGCTCATCCAGCTTGTCAACAAGGAGCTGAGCTTCTGGGCTAAGAGGGTAAGGATCTCTGCCACTCGCCCCCACGCCTCCTCCCTCCCCATGCATTGTGCCTTTCGCACAAATACACACAACACCCCAGCACTTCATTTAAAGGGAGAAAGAAATCCTTGCTGTTAATTCCCTTGGAAATGTGAAGATGGGGTTCATAAGTGCGAACACAAATATGTAACTGCAGACACATAATTGAAAAATCACAAATTAAATCCAGGTGCATGTTATCCAATTCTGCAGTTTAATGACAGTTAGACCCAACAGCATTTCACATACCTCAGTTTCGGGAATTTTGCACCAAATTTGTTACAATCCTGAGCTTCCATTTTAAAATAGAAAGCAAAGCAAGTTCCTGGTCCTCATTATTATTATTATTTTAAAGCTGTGTTTGAAGAATTAAAATCAGACGCCTGTCTGTAAAGAGCACCAGCAATCAAGAGAGTAGAAATTCTGTGCCCTTCCCAGTCACCTTCCCCTCTCTTGTGGCATCTAGTTTCCTAATCATAAGTCACTCATAGAATCCTAGAATTGTAGAGTTGGAAAGGAACCCCCCCCAGGGTCATCTAGTCCAACCCCCTGCAATGCACTCTTGCCCATCTTGGCATTATAGTTCAGTGGTAGAATATTGGTTTTGCATGCAGAAAGTTACCAGCTTCCTCAGGCAAGACTTGGACACTCGTTCCCGAAACCACTTCCTGTCTGCTTAGGCCAGGCATAGTCAAACTCGGCCCTCCTGATGTTTTGGGACTACAACTCCCATCATCCCTAGCTAACAGGACCAGTGGTCAGGGGTGATGGGAGTTGTAGTCCCGAAACATGTTGCCTGGCTAAGGCAGTGCTGAACTAGATGAACCAGTCACCTGACTCAGTATAAAACAGCAGCATGCTTCCCATAGTACAGTGCTTAAAAACATAGTTTGCCTGCAGAGGGTCCCAGATTCGTTCCCTGGTGCCTTCAGGGAAGGACCCCCCCCCCCCCCCGGAGCCCTGAAGAGCTGCTGCCAGCCAGTGAAGGTTATACTGAGCTGGATGAGCTCGTCATTAAGCAGCAACAGACAGGCATGTGAAATCACTTTTAATGAAAAACAAAAGTCAGAATAAGCATTTAGATTAAGAAATGATATACAACACAAACAAATCTTCCGCACGTTTTTGTTTTTGTTTTTTGTAACGTGCTCTGAGTGCAGAATTTGGGTAGCACTTCCTTGGGGTGGAAACGTCACTTTTTAAAAATAAATGAATAAAAATGCAGCCATGTGCAGCTGCCATGACTCTTGCAAAATCTGTGCAGAGAGAAAACGCCACACACACAAGTTACCGTATTTTTTGCACCATAACACTCACTTTTTTCCTCCTAGAAAGTAAGGGGAAATGTCTGTGCGTGTTATGGAGAGAATGCCTGCGGGTGGCAGGGGGGATCTGCTGCAGTCGTGAGCAGAGGATCCATGGTTCCCCTTCCTTCCCTCCTCCGTGGTTACAAAGCATGGATCCCCATGGATCCTCAGGATTTTTGCATTGGGCTACTCCAAACTCACCGTCAGATCACATGTCTGTGGCCACAGCATGAACCACAAAATCATATATCCACTATTTCGTTTAGAATATTTTTTTTCTTGTTTTCCTCCTCTAAAAACTACGTGCGTGTTATGGTCTGGTGCGTGTTATAGAGCGAAAAATACGGTACCTATTTCATTCAGATGAATATTTGATGCCAAGCCATTTCAAATGTGTGCAGTTAGAAAAAGTAAGTTTAAGGTAATATGGCCTTAATTTACACAATATAGCACTTAACGGGATCGGGGCAGGTTGCAATAGAACCGATTCCCTCCTTAACTCTTGTCAGCTCTGATGAAGCTGTTTTCCAGGGGAAGGAAATTGCAGTACTTTTAAAAAAGAAGCAAAACTCCACACCCGCAAATCCTCTCCAGCCATATAGATTTTCTGTGCGGTGGTATTACGAAGATGTCCTCATTTCACCAGGATCACGGTGGAGGACAGTGTTCAGGCGAGGGGGGTGGGGGTTGCTTTCCGTAGATAGGAGACTCCAGCCCAGAAAGCTCTCTGCTCAGCCCAGTGCAAACCAGCCTCTGCTTCAGAGAGCGAAAGCGTGGCGGTCTGATCCCAGTAACTTGCTGCTTCTTTCTCCCCCTGCAGGCCAAGGCAAGGCACAACATCACCTTAGTGTGGGACAGGGAGGTGATGGACGTGCTAGTGGATGGCTACAACCTGCACTATGGAGCCCGCTCCATTAAGCACGAGGTGAGCGGGGGGGCGGGGGCAGAGGGAGCTCTTGCTCCTCTTCCAGTGCTGACAGAAGGGGACCTGGTGGCAAGCCTTGCTTTCTCCCTCAACTAAGATGCTCCACCAACGCTGCTGCAACGTTAGCTCATAGGGGAGCTGCTCCACCCCAGCAACATTCCGGTTGTCCTAATGATCCCATAGCATGGAATTTGCCCTTTTCACAGCTGAACCTCTTCATTGAGCTGTATCTGCTACGACCCCAAGGTCTCATTCCCCATGAGCATATATGAAATTAAGATTTTGTGGCCCCTTCCAGCTCCACAGCATGATTCACTGATGTGCAATCTCTTGAATGTGCAGTCTTCCAGTCTCAAGGCAGCTTCTGCTTACGGCAGCCCACGTAGCCTGGATTTCTGTGTTTTTTTATTGTTTTAAGTCATTTTTATATACAAAGTGATATTAAAATAGAAAATGAAAAACATATCCATATAAAGAGATTCCTTCACATCTCCAGGCTTCCTCCCACCGCTCCATGAAATTCCCTTTTGAACATTTATTCCTGAATATTCTTCCATACTCTCATTTTTATATCAAACCATATTATCCATGATAATAGTCACACTACAAGTGAGATCAAAATCCTGCTAACGTTTCCATCTGCTTACAGTGGTCTCCTAAATAACATATAAATTTTCCCATTCTTTTATAAAGCTAGTCTCTTGATTTCCAAGTTTTCCAGGCAGTTTTGCCATCTCGCATAGTCCATCAGCTTGGTTTGCCACTCCTCTCTGGTCGGGACTTTGTCTTCTTTCTATTTAATTTTCTATCCTGCCTTTTCTTAAAAGAGCTCAAGACAGCTCCCCTCTCAACAACCCTGTGAGGGAGGTTAGGCTGGAAGATAGGAAGTAGGCCAGGACCCCTCAGGGAGCTTCGCGGCTGCATGTGGGATTTGAACCTGGTCTGTGTTCTTGATCCAGAACTCTTCTCACTACTACGTGGCTCGTCTCTGTCCCTGCTCCCCAGGTTGAACGTCGAGTCGTGAACCAGCTCGCCGCCGCCTACGAACAGGACCTCCTGCCCCGCGGTTGCACCTTGCGGATCACGGTGGACGACTCAGACAAGCGGCTCCTGAAAGCCAAGGGCAGCTCGTCCCCCGCGGAGGGCCAGAGGAAGGGCCCCACGCTGCGGCTGGAGATAGTTGAGAAGGACAGCAAAAGCCGGAAGCTGGACATTCAGGCCCCGTTGGCTCCCGACGAGATGTCCTATACTTTATAGGCCCGCGGGCTGCCCCCTGCGGAGCTTCAGGTTGTGTGGTCAGTAATAAAACAATCATGAGATGTAGACGGAGGAGTAAGGAAGGTGGTTTGGGGAACCCGGGTTTCTCTGGAGATCAGAGCTTAGCTGGGAGAGAGAAAAAGAGAGATCCTTATAGCTCAAATCACTGCTACAGCCTTGTTGAGACAGGGCTACCCTGTGCAAAATCGATGGGTGGGTTCAGCCTGCTGCCCCGCAGAGCTGTTTGCGAGGGGGAGAGGTTTGTGCTTTGGGTGGGGCAGGGTTTCTCAGGGGAAATAAGCACGAACTTCCTTGTTCCAAGCGAGCTGCTGTGCCTGCCTCCCTCCAGCCCCGTAAGTGATGCTGCAGAATACGTTGGGTGCCGATTCAGGTCTCAAAAAGTGACTTTTTCAGACGCTCACCAAGGGGATGCCTCTGCGAAGGTGCTGGGTGTGGCCTTTTCCAGCCACCTGGGCACCAACCAGATCTCTTAAGTTATTGCAATAAATGTTAATGGATACCAAATGAGCTCCTCTCCTCGTCTGTTCATCTCGGGCATTTAGGTGGCGGCGGTGGGGGAACCTCCTGCACATGCTTGGCTGAAATGCGTGGGAGCTGTGCAGGTGGACAGTCTGCAGAATCCTAGAATTGTAGAGTGGAAAGGCCTCCTAGGGGTCATCTAGTCCAACCCCCTGCAATGCAGGAATCACATCTAAAGAATCACTGACACACGACCATCCGACCTTTGCTTAAAAACTACAAAAAAAGGAGAGTCCATCACTTTCCAAGGGAGTCTGTTCCACCATCAAGCCGCTCGTACTGGTAGAAAGTTCTTCCTGATGTTTAGTTGGCATCTCCTTTCTTGAATCCATTGGTTCGAGTCCTGCCTCCATTGCGGGAGAAAACAAGCTTGCTCCATCCTCCATGTTGGCAGTCCTTCAGAGATTCAAAGATGGCTGTCATATCACCTCCCAGTCTTCTCTCCTGCAGGCTAAACATCCCCAGCTCCCTCAACCATTCCTCATAAGGCTTGGTTTCCAGACCCTCGACCATCTCAGTCACCCTCCTCTTGCAACATCCTTCTTAAACTGTGGTGCCCAGAACCGGACACAGTTCTCCAGCTGGGGGGTCTGACCAACACAGAGTTCTGTTACGTTGCCATTTATGCACAAGAACATCCTTTTGCCTTTTCTCCCTTAAGGGTCTGCCTGCATCACTCTTCCTTGTTACGGTGGTGGGGCAGTTCTGTTCTCTGGCTTACGCTTCTGTTCTCTGCCTGCCTAGGGGCCGGTGGCTCCCATGGTGAGGAAGCTGGAGCTCACCAAAGCAAAGAAACGTGCCCAAAACAACACTATGGGGCACATCTCTCCAAAGCCACAAGACTGAAAGCGTCTTTTTTGCCCTTCCCAAACATGTGCTTCCTCCTCCTCCTGCTCCTCGTAGGATTGTTTGCTACTCTGAAATTGATTTAGTTTCCTAAAACAGTAGGAAATATTGTGCACCCTGCCATGGTTTAAAGCGGGGAGGAGCAAAGTTGGAGAGGAAGAGGGAGCCAGTGGCCAGGAATTAGCTATGACCCTTAGGGTCCCTTCCAGTGCTTACAGTTCTTTGATTCAAACTGCAGAGCGTTTGGTGGCGTAGTTCCTCTTTACCAAAACAAGAACATAAGACGAGCCAGGCTACTGGATCAGGCCCAGCTTCTAGCTCTCACAGCAGCCAGTCAGATGCTGCCTTGAGAGAAACCCGCAAACAGGACCTGAGCGCAACAGCAGCACTCCTTGCCTGTGGACCCCCCCCCAAGTGGTATTCAGAGGCATTGCTCCCCCAGCAGTGGAGACAGAACATAGCCATCCTGGCTGGTAGCCATTGAGAGCCCTCTCATCCAGGAGTTTGTCTAATCCTCTTGTAAAGCCATCCATGTTGATGGGCATCACTGCATTTTGTGGGAGCAATCTCCATAACTTAACTATGCACTGTGTGAAGAACTACTTGTTTTTGTCCTTATTGCCTGTTCCAACATTCAAGCATCGTTTAATGGCCTCTCTGGGCTCTAATATTAAGAGAGAGGGAGAAAAACGCCTCTCCACGCCATGTGCAATCTTGCAGACCTCGATCGTTTCCCTGTTTCCCCTTAAGTGCCTTTTCCCCTCATAGGAAAAGCCTTTCCTCGTGGGGAGTTCGCTCCACCCCCTGATCATTTCTGTTGCCCTTCTCTGAACCTTTTCCAACTCTGCACTATCCTTTCAGAGGTGTGGTGACCAGAACTTCACACTGTATCCCAAGTACGACCTCCCCATAGATTTGTACAATGCCGATACTGTCGTTTGTTTTCACTCCCCAGCCGCAGACGACACTCCCTGGGGATGGGCCCAGGGCCCAGCTGTGGACTGTGCCAGCTTTTGCACAAGAAGCTGGCGATGCAAAGATGCCACGGGTGCAGATTGATCGATTGATCGCCAGTGAGCATATATATAACTCTGATAAGCATGCAGAGCTTCAGCCCCATTGATTGAGTTTGCCTCAAGGTTTGGCTGCTAATCTAATTACAGCCGGAGGATTGAGAACAGGAACCAGGGTAGGAATACCTTTATGATGATGATGATTATTTATCAGTTTTAGCACTCCAAAAGTGTTCTGCATTTCTTATTTATTTCGTGGAGCAACCGTAGCTCGCAGGGCTGAGAATCAGCCTCATTAAGCTGAGCGGAAGGATAACAGATTTGTCAGCCTTGTCAGCGATTTCCTTCGCAGCAGGGGGAAAGTGGGGAGATGAGAGTTTGCTTTTCGGACCTTGCTTTGCAGAGAGAGTGGCTCTTGGGGGTGGAGTGGGGTGGTCTTGCACCCAGACTTCCTGGCGTGGCTCCCCCACAACCTTTGGCTCCCTGGGACGGGTTCTCAAAGGAACCTTTTGAGTACATTGGCTTGCTCTCAAAGCATACCTCTGCACTCAGAGCAACAAGGAGAAGTCAACCTCTGCCCCATTTCCACGCTTCTCCGCGTTGCAGGGGGTTGGACGTGGGGGGGGCAGTGGGTTGCTTCCCCACAGCAGTGGGCAACTTGGCTCCCTGTTGTGTGGATCATCCTGAGTTCTTTGCAAGCCACGTTGGCACCATGCCTGTTCTCTGCATAGGGCACCCACTCACCTGAGCCACGTTGGACAAACAAGACATCAGGACGTAAGCAGAGCTTGCTGGATCAGGCCAATGGCCCATCTAGTCCAGCATCCTGTTCTCACAGTGGCAGAACAGTTGCAAGGATAGGTTCTGCAGAACACTACCCAGATACTTCCTTTTTGTGGCCAACAGAGGCTAGAGCAAAGAGGCCAAATTTGCTAGGCATGTTCAAAGTATTCAGCTTGCAGAATCAGCCTTTTCTTGGTGCAGAATTTGGAAGCCTGCTCTGGATGCTTCCAAATTCTGCACCAAGAAAAGGCTGATTCTGCAAGCTGAATACTTTGAACATGCCTCTCAACCTCAGCCCTCCAGATGTTTTGAGACTACAATTCCCATCATCCCTGACCACTGGTCCTGCTAGCTAGGGATCGTGGGAGTTGTAGGCCAAAAACATCTGGAGGGCCAATATTGAGGAGCCAGATCCAGAGCCTCGTGCTTCTGATCACAGCTCTCCCTCCTTAAGGTTTAAAAGCAACAGACTTCATGCCTTCAGCCTCTCCTCTCCTCACCCTAGTCCTTCCATTCCCTGCACCTTGGACTTGTAAACCCACCTGGAAGCACTTTGGTTTTTGAACTGCACCTTAACACCGCTTTGATTAATAAAATTACATTTCATAAGAAAGCCACAAATGCACTCATTCTTGGTGCTTCAGTTCCTGGGTCCCATCTCTTATTGGAGCACGATTCTGCATCCATTTATAAAATTTATACGCTTGATTCTGAAAACCCTCTAAGCGGTTTATGAAAAAGATGAAGCAATAAACGTTATCAATAAGAAGAATCGGCAACAATAATTTTAAGACTTTTGAAAAGTTAAATAACAATATAGAAACAGATTAAAATGTGCATCAACTTTCAAAACATCTGGGTAGGCTTGTCTAAATAATGTTTTTGGCAGAATGTTCTTGGTTTGAACCTCGTGGAGCAGGTGGGAAATGGACAAAAGGCCGAAGATTCCTCACTGGTGCTCCAAAGCAACAAGGACCTCTGCGGCCTCATCCTGCTGTCTGCTGTGATGAGGAGGCTCAAGCGTTCAAAGCTTTGAGCCTTGCATTCCCTCCTGTCTTGCAATTCTCACCTTAGAGGAGACAGAGCAGCCTCCTTTCCAACCCTGCGGTTCCCAAACATTTGGGGGGCACCCGCTACCCTCTCGGTTCCATAAACGTCTCCCCAGCACCCCCCACCCTATTCAAAACAGCGGGTTGCCTGACCCACTAAGGGAGATAATAACCCAACAAAATTCAAAATGGGAACAATTAAATTGCAGATGTATTCAAAATCCAGTTGAAATTATTTTAATTAACTCGACAAAAGGGATGAACTTCATCCAGCTTTCCAAGGCCTGATAATTGTGTACACCGGCCTGTTCCCCTCTGCCTGCCCCCCTCCCCCCGCCCAAGGTGGAGGACAGAATCTGGGCAGGGCGTTCTTGCGAGTAGGGCGAGTGTTGCAGAGTTGTGGGTCAGCAGCAGGGAGAGTGAAGAGGGGAGGCAGCCCAGGTTCTTAATGTCTTCTCAACAGGTGCTGCTAGGGGTTTGCTGTCTTGGGCTCTTACACTTTCGGAATGTAGTTTTTGAATCGCATTGTATTGCTTTGTATGGATTATATTCTGTTGAAGTTTCTCAGTTTCATTAAATAAGTTTTTATAAACTGCTTAGAGACTGTCTTAGTATTAAGGAGAATAATAATAAATATTTAAATAACTGAATTGTGGAAAATGGGTCTATCCAAAATGCCTAGCCTCCTATATCACAGCTGCCCCAGAATGGGTTGTGGATCACTCGCCTGCCATCCAGGGAGGAGGATGCATGAATGAATGAATGAGAGGAGATTGATTGATTGATTGATTGATTGATCAATTGATTGTGTTTATATTCCTTCTTTTTTCCTCCACGGAGCACAGTGAGACATACTTGTGTATTTTTCTCCCAGATCCTTATTTTATCACCACAAGAGCCCTGTGAGGTAGGCAAGGCTGAGAGGCGGCAAATGGCCCCCGTGGTCACACCCATGAGTGGGGGATTTGAACCCTTGCCTCCCAGGCCCTAGTCCGACGCTCTAACTACAGTGGTACCTTGGTTCTCAAACGTCTTCGTTCCCAAATGCCGAAAACCTGGAAGTGAGTGTTCCGGTTTTCAAATGTTTTTCGGATGCTGAATGTCTAATGCATCTCTCGGCTATTGTTTCCAGGGCACTTGCAACAATCAGAAGCTGTGTCTTGGTTTTTGAACATTACAGAAGTCAAATGGACTTCTGGAACGGATTAAGTTTGGCGCTTTTGTTTTTGCTATTTATTTTGTGCTTTTGAGGCTTTTTCGGTTAATTTGTTTCTGTGACTGTGCAGAACCCACTTCAGCTACTGATTGATTGATTGTGTGACTGAGGAAATGGATAAAAGCCCCCCCATCCAAACAATGACTAACATCTGTGCACGTAAGAAAAAAAATTAATTTTTATCACCTACTGTCTTATTAAGGGACACAGGTGGCGCTGTGAGTTAAACCACAGAGCCTAGGACTGCCCGATCAGAAGGTCGGCGGTTCGAATCCCCGCGATGGGGTGAGCTCCCGTTGCTCAGTCCCTGCTCCTGCCAACCTAGCAGTTCAAAAGCACGTCAAAGTGCAAGTAGATAAATAGGTACTGCTCCAGTCTGAAGGTAAACAGCATTTCCGTGCGCTGCTCTGGTTCGCCAGAAGTGGCTTAGTCATTCTGGCCACATGACCCGGAAGCTGTACGCCGGCTCCCTCAGCCAATTAAGCGAGATGAGCGCCGCAACCCCAGAGTCGGCCACGACTGGACCTAATGGTCAGGGGTCCCTTTACCTTTACTGTCTATTTTTTTTATAGTACAGTACATTGATTATTGCTTTCATTTTATGGATCAATGGTCTCGTTAGATAGTAAAATTCATGTTAAATTGCTGTTTTAGTGGTTTTTAAAAGTCTGGAATGGATTGATTCGTTTTGCATTACTTTCTTTGGGAAAGCGTGCCTTGGTTTTCGAACGCTTTGGTTTGGAACGGAATTCTGGAATGGATTAAGTTTGAGAACCAAGGTACCACTGTACTACACTGCCTGGCATATGTTTGGCTCTCAGTGTTCAGCATCTGGGTGGTGGCACAAAGCGCATGGGGCTTCCTCGTATACAGAGATGAAATTCAGCCTGCTAATCACATCTGTGTGTGTGTGTGTGTGTGTGTGTGTGTGTGTGTGAGAGAGAGAGAGAGAGAGAGAGAGAGAGAGAGAGAGAGAATATCCAGCTCCCTTCTCCCAAATGAGGGTATAAAAGGTCTTACTGAATTTCCGTTGTTTGGGAATCTTGATCATGCACAGTGCATACTTTGTACAGGGACCTGGCAAATTCAGAGCAACATTGTCAAGCACCCCTTCCCTCCACAGAGTAAAAAGCCCCAGTGCCAGTCACTTTAGCATCATAGTTAAAGTGGGGCGCGTGCCCTCTCCAAATGAAGCCCCCTTGTGCATGGAAGTGCCCGCCAACTTGAGCCCACACCATCCTGATCTGCCTGCCAGCACTACTACCCCAAAGCTCTTGAGTTGGGAAAGGCCCCCCACCTTTAAAAACCGTGGTTATCTGCAGGGAGTTGGGCTCGATGGCTCTTGGGGGCCCCTCCCAGGTCTGCCATTGTGTCCTGGGCACATTCCCAGTCCTCCTCAGTCCAATCCAGGATTGTTCCTGGCTTGCAAACAAGCCCCGGGTAAGAAGGGGACCCAATCGCTTATCCACAAGGGACAGGGGCTGAAGCACAACACACGCACCCCGATTTGTTTTAATTGTGTTTAGCTGGGAGGCAGGGGGGCGGGAGGAAAGCAGGCCGAGGCTGCGTGCCTTTAAGCAAACTGGCAAGGGTGAAAGGGCTGCCTGTGACAGATCAAATAAATGTGCCATCGCAGTCAAACCAAGGAACAATAAAAACCCCGGCAGAGGCTGGAGGAGAGAAACAGTAGCCTGTGACAGCAGAAATTCAATTACCAGCAGCCTTCAGCCCCGTGCCGGGGACGGTAATTCAATTAGGCCCATGCAGGCTCCCACTACCAGAAGGGGCTGCAGAGCAGAGCTGAGGGCTGGGGTGGTCCCACGTCGTCCTGGCCTCATCCTCGCCCGGGCGGCTTCATCTGCGTCTAGAGCAAATAATGCCACACTGCCAGGTGGAGGAGGAGGAGGGTCTGAGATGGAGCTCAGCAAAGGTTCGGCCAGAACTTGCATCCTGCAGAGCAAAGCCCCTTGGGCGGAACGTGGGAACGCAAGAGAAGATGGCTGGATCAGACCAAGCAGGATCCAAGCACCATAGCCCTCTCCCCTCCTGTAAAATAGCCTGTTGGATCAGGCCACTGGTTCACCCTGTGCGGCCGCCTGCTCTCACTGCGGCCAACCAGTGCCATTATTATATTATTATTATTCTGCCTTTTTCCGAGATGGGGACTCAATATGGACTACAGGTTAAAAAGACAGAAACATAGATAAAATTGGAAAAGCTAGAAAGCTAAAAACTTAGAAAAGATAATATTAGCAAGTAATCGAATACTAAAAGGTAAAGGGACCCCTGACCGTTAAGTCGCGGACGACTCTGGGGTTGCGGCGCTCATCTTGCTTTACTGGCCGAGGAAGCCGACGTTTGTCCGCAGACAGTTTTTCCGGGTCATGTGGCCAGCCTTACTAAGCCGCTTCTGGCGAACCAGAGCAGCACACGGAAACGCCGTTTACCTTCCCGCTGGAGTGGTACCTATTTATCTACCTGCACTTTGATGTGCTTTCGAACTGCTAGGTTGGCAGGAGCTGGGACCGAACAACGGGAGCTCACTCCGTCGTAGGGATTGGAACCACCAACCTTCTGATCGGCATGTCCTAGGCTCTGTGGTTTAACCCACAGTGCCACCCGCGTTCCCTTAATTGAACACTACTGAAATTAAAACTGCATGCAGGCAATGGGCATTTCATGTAGGAGTCCAAGCCCGGCCCCGGCACCCGTTGGTGGAGTGCGCATAATGCTCCCTGCCCAATTCCGGTCCCATTCTTCCCTCTTCCGACTCATGCCTAAATTGTTCATTTCCTGAGTGTGTGTTTGTGTAAAGGGAAACTCACAAGCAGGACCTGAGCTCTAGCCCTTGTGCCTAGCAGACCCTGAAAGCCCTCTCTTCCTCCATGAATTTCTAATTCTCTTATAAAGCCCGTCCAGGTTGGTGGCCATTGCTACCTCCTGTGGGCGGGAGTTCCACAGGTTAAATACGTGCTGAGTGAAGAAGGGCTTTATTTGATCTCTCATGAAAGGGTTGTTGTGGCCTCCCTGGATGTCCTAGTCCTGGGACAGAACCAGAAACGGACAGGATAAGCATGCAGGTGTCACCTTGGCGTGTCAGACCGGAAGATCCAATTGAATCCAACAGCCGCCGCCTCGCTGTGGACCATTGGATGCCTCTGTACTGTCTGCAAGGAGCACAAAGAGCTCTTCCCTGTTGCTCAGCCCATAGAGACTGGCATTCCATGAAATGGGCCCTCCAGAGCTGGAGGTCCCAGGGTTGGGCTAGATCGCCCACGGGCTCCCTTCCAACTACAGTTCTATGATTCTACGTATTTAAAATTGAGACGGATTGAGCAGAAGCTGAACCAAGCCTGGAAGCATAAACACTCAGCATCTTAATGCCCTGGGTAGCAAATAATGATCTATGTGTGTAAACTAAGATGGAGGTATTAATGCTTACTGTGTTAATGTTTGCTGATAGGTCTTTCTTTTCATCATGATTCTTTCTTTCTTTCCTTCCTTCCTTTCTTAAATTTGCAATTTTAAAACCCCCAATTTTTTAAAAGGCCTGAGAGGGTGACGAGTGAAGCCTTCTCTGTTATGGCCCCTGCCCTTTGGATATTGCTGCCCCCCGCTTTCTCCTGGGCTGTTTGTGTCCTTGCTGCTTTTCTTCCTTCTATCTTACCTCCCATTTTTTCCATTTCTTCCTTCCTCTTGACCTGCTTTCCCCCTTCTCCTCCTCCTCCGATTTCCTTCTCTCTTCCTTCTGTTTCCTTTCCCTCCTTCCCTTCTCCACTTTCCTCTCCCCTTTGTTGCTGTTTGGGGTGACCTTGCTGTCGTTATTCCTCACTCTCTCTTGTGCCTAACAACACTGCCGTCCCCCCACCCCACCCCCTAACATGACTCAGCATTGAGCAATATACCCATTAAATAACAATATTTTTGAAAAAATCATCAGTGGCATGAACACTCCAGCTGTTGGTCCTTTTTCCATTCGCTTTCAAAAGCCCTTTAAAGCCAGCTGCTTCCTCCCCACAACAGGTTACATCTTAGCTCTCTCTGTTAAGCAAAATATGGATTTTGTTCCCTAAACCTCCAGCACTGAGCCGCCCCCCATCCGTTGCACCTCTCTTGAGACTGAAAGCTGTGCATCCTCTGTTGAACCCAGACCAAAGATCTATCTTGCGCACATATGAGCATTGTGTGGCCCCCAGTCGCCTTCTATGCGGCCCACAGGACCCCTTCCTCCTGCCCAGTGGGTTGGCACTGGAAACAGCTGAGGAGCCCGCGGCTCAGCAACTCGAATTCTTAACGCAGGAAGGCAAATGTGATTTGATAGGCTTCCCTGATACCTGTTGTTAAAAGATATGTGGCTCCCATGCAGGGGTCTAAGGGTATAACATATTCAAAAGAAGCCAGAAGGAAAAGGAACATCGTGTGCAGAAGATGCAGCCACGTGCAAGGAAATCCATGCACTTTGCACGCAATGAAAGGGTGTTTATTTGGGTAAAAATAAAAGGAGAAGGAAATAAAAGCCGCGTCGTTGTGAGAATCCGCTGCACGACACCAAG